CAGACAATGGTGGTAACCCGGATGGTAGTAATTTGGATGGTGGTAACCCGGATGGTGGTAACCTGGATGGTGGTAACCTGGATGGTGGTAATCTGGATGGTGGTAACCTGGATGGTGGTAACCTGCAGGAGTGGATGCAGTGGGATAGCGCCCCTTCGTTGCTGCCTCCCACCTTGGATGGCTTCAGCAGCGGCTGGGAGGTGGACGATTCTCTGCTTGCGGACCTGCAGCAGTGGCAGCAGCTGCAGGCGCAGCAGCAGCCGCAGCAGGAGGAGGAGCAGCAGCAGCAGCAGGGAGGCCTGCTTGTTGCAGCTGCCGCAAGCCTTGACACCTACATCACCGGTAGCACTAGCATCGAAACTAGCAGCACTAGCTACATGACCAACAGCTTTGCGGCCTGCCCCAGCGCCCTCCCTTGTACTAGTGGCTGCACCAGCACCGACACCAGCACCAGCACCACTGGCTCTCCTCGCGTCCCACCTTCTCCCCGGTCCCAACCTCCTATACTCCCACCCCTCGCTCAGTTCGCAGCACTAGAGGAGTTGGAGCTGCAGATGTGCTCCGACATGACAGACAGGGACGTGCAGGCTGTGCTAGGGGGGTGCCCCAAGCTGCGGAGGCTCGAGGTGGTGGCGAATCATCGGCTGTCCGCCCGCGCGTTTGCGCTGGGCTGTGCTGTGTGCGCTGCTGGGGGGCAGTGCGAAGTGGCTGCGGCTGGTGGGAGCTGCAGGGCGCGAGGGCGAGCGCTGGAGAGCGTGAGAGTGATGCAGGTGAGAGGGGCGGTCTCACAAGGGATTGTAAAGCAGATGTAACACGCAACGCCCCAAATGCAGCAACACATTCCTCTCTTTTTCACCCACCCACCCTCTCCTGGTCTCCTCTCCGTGCACCTTGCCACCTACTCCCATTCTAAACCACATCCAGTCTCACCGCTTTTCCATGTCTCCCCATCGCCCCCCTCTTTCCATCGCCCTCCTGCAGTGTGACAATGTGAATTCGTATGCCCTGCTGCACGCGCTCATGCCAGCCTGCACAACCCTCAAGGGCATTCAGATGACCGCCTCCTGGACCCACACCAGCCCCCCCCCACCCTCCCCCAGTTTTCTTGTTCCTCTGTCTGATTCCTCACCTCTGTTGCCCCATCACCCCATCGCCCCACCCCTGCAGTGTGACAATGTGGATTCGCATGCGCTGCTGCACGCACTCATGCCAGCGCGCACAACCCTCAAGGGCATTCAGATGACCGCCTCCTGGACCCACACCAGCCCCCCGCTGCCCCTCGCCTGCTTCTCCGCTCTCGAGTCTCTCTGCCTCGAAGTTTCTGTAGACGCCTCGCTCTCTCCCTTGCTCAGGTATATTCTCCCTTTGTTCAGGAACATTTCTAATTCCAGTGGTGCTTCTCTTCGCAGATGCCCTTTCTCTGCTGAGGTGATATCTTGAGCCTGTCTTAATCACACGCTAAACGTTCATCGTGATTTAGCCCTCTTTTTCCTTACCCTCTCTTGCTGTCCCCCTTTCCTCCTCCCTGCTCTCCTGTACAACCCTGCTGGTCCTCCCCCCCTCTCCTCGCCCATCTCCGTTGCAGTGCTGGCTTGGCCTCCTGCCCCAACCTCAAGTTCTTCTTCCTCTCCCTCTACGGCGCTCTGGAGCAAGACACTCTTCCGCTCCCACCCCACCACTACTCCCTCGCCTTCCTCTCCCAGCCCCCCGCGCTCACCTACCTCTTCCTCTCGCTCGAAGGAGTCCAGTCTGCCACCGCTCCCGCCTTAGCCTCGCTCGAGCTCGCGCTGCTAGCCTCCTGCCCATCGCTCGCTATTCAAGAGATTGAATTCCGCCCCGCGCCCTGCCTGGTAGCCTCTGCTCCGCTGTGCCTAGACCTGCTCTCTCCTGATGCTGCTCGGCTGCTGTCCCTGTCGCCGTGTCTCCGGCGGGTGACTCTAGGGGGAGTGGTGCAAGAGCCGGCGATGGTGAAGCTTCTGAGAAGCCGCACATTGCGGGATGTGGTGTTTCTCACGCCGCCAGACTGCTCGGACACGTTTCGGAGCTTCTTTGAGTCGGTTCTCAAGTCGAGGGGGTACACGGATCAGCCAAGGAGTGGAGCGGAGTGTGGCTTGGATGTTTGTCACGACTGGGTTTGTTGCTGAGGTCTGATGCTGCTGTTATTGTGGATCTATGTAGGTAATTGTTTGTTCCTTGGCGCTGAACTTGTACCGTATGACTGTTGATATAGGCTTCTTAGTTGATTTTTTTAGTGAAGAAAATAAGCCGTTTTGGATAATAGCTGCCATACGCACGAAGATAGAACCGTGTTACGACTATTTATTCAAATTCTGCAGTGAGGCATTTCTAGCTGGACAAGGCTCCACCGAATAAAACCGTTTTGGGGACTGTTGACTTTGACGTGAGTGCAATTTGGAACGATTTTGGTGGGGTAGGAAATCGAGGCATCTTCCTGCTGATTCGGGCACCCTGCATTGTCAAGAGTACACTGTGAATTGCTCAGAGAAACCACGCATATTGATGTTTTTTGGGGATGACTCTATCTCCCACGATCATTTGCACGTTGGTCGATCGCGTCTTCCACCACCATACGATATGTTCAGTTCTGAGAAATCGTGGGATTCGTTGAAAAGTCTCGTAACTCCCACGGCCAGGTCATGAAGGGTTTAAATCCAAATCAGAACCGTATTAACTCGTAATACGAGGGTGTATTTTGAAGCGTACCTAGATTCACAGGGTAAGTTGCTATGCCCACATGTATCTACTGTAGCATTTGTGTGGTCACCCTGTCACTAGCAGCCGCCAAATTCACAGAAGTCGTTCCACTTGTCAGCTAAAGACGGGTGGATAAGACAACCATATCCTTACCGCTGGCGTTTTCCTCAACACCTGACCACTCGTTGCGCCTCGCTGTCGACTCGCGTCTGTTGTACAATCTCAAGATTGAGATCACGAGGATTTCCTCCCCCTTGCCCACTAGACACACACAACAAGGAGGATGGCGGGTATTGGGGGGGGGCACGCGGACCACATCGGCAGCAATCTCTTCTTCATGCGGAGATTCAATTATGGGTAGATACAGTAAGGGTGGCATAACTTTTGCAGCACGTGGGTGCGTAGAATGCCCGAATGGAATAGATTTCCGCAGCTGCTGATTTCAAAAAAGGTCAGTGTATAATATTAGTTACGCTTAGTTACGTAAAAATCCATGTCCTTTCGAGTGAATGTCCTTGAAGTGAGACAGTACTGTACCCACAATGCTCTGATTCTGAATCAAGTTGTACCATGGAAGTGTTTAGTCTGGTTGTGTAAACAGCTGTCAAGACTGCGTGGAAGTTATTGGGACTGAGGCTCCAGATTATCGCCATACAAGGCGAGAAATATCTCTGCTGCCCGGAATGGTGAGAAAGGTTCACCCTTGCTTGGTACAGCTGTACTGCACAGTTACCCGTGCTTCGGCAATGTCCCTCGAGCCAACCCTCCCGCCCGTGAAAATAAATCAGGAGGCGGGTTACAACTGACAGTCGGGGAAACACCAAAGGTGGTTCCCCCCTTACCTGTACAGTACCAATCATCCCGCCAACTGATCTCATCCCCCTCCACACAATTTTTCTGCACCTCCAATTCATTCCCCCTCTCCTCCGTCTCTCTTCCGCCTCTCTTCCGCATCTTCTCCGCCTTCGTCCGCATGCTGTGATCAAGTTTGGAATCTGGCAGTCGAGTCAACCAGCACGTGCATGGAGATGGGTGGTGGTGTAACTCGTCGTGTGATCCGCTCCGCTGCACTGCACTTTATTTGCCTTGCTTGTTCTGCATCTCCCATCCCATCCCATCCCTTCACAGCTCTGCAGTTTTTTTGCGTGCTTGCGAGGCTTGTTCAGCGTGTCTTTATTCAGACGAGTTGTACTGAACGACAGGAAGATAACAGAGCTCCGTTACTCACCATTTTTTGCGGAGACAGGGAACTAATTCCGGCATTCCAACATCCACTCTCCAACTCCTCCTCCCTGCCTCAGTGCCTCACAGTTCCTTCAATGCGATTGCGGCTCCCTCCAACTAGCTATCCACACTGCCTGAACACTGACAGACATCAGAATTGTGGAAACCACCACCGTGTCCCCTATGTCCACCAAAGTGGCTAGTGATTCTCCCTCCCCGTTCGAGCACCTCGAAATATCTTGCTGATCGGTAATGTACAGCTGTTTCAGTAAATCAGGGTGCTAGCATTCGATTTGTTCGACTCCCACTAATAATTTACCGTCCGAAATTCCATCGTCGTGTACATTCGCGGCCAACGTGCACCTGTGCTTATTTTCCGTAGATTCTTGCGCGGTACACTTCAGCAGAGGCTCTGCCAAAGTGGATTTCATAATTGTCCTCTGACTTTAAGGCGACTCGTGGGTTACTTTCCCTTAATTCCGACGCCGCCGCGTCAATTTTTAAATACTTGACACATAACCGTTCAACACCAATCTCGAATTGTATTTATCATGGGTGGTTGTTTTAGCAGACCCGCTATTAGAGGGGACGACATGGACGAACGTAACCCCGCTAGAGTCACACCCACGTCCTTTTCAGGCGAGCTCGCCGCTATTAACGGCGCAGATCAACGGCTAGGATCTGCGCATTACATTTCCGCCAGCAGCATCAAATCGCATGACAGCAGCTCCGAACGGTCCGGTGGCGAAAGCGGGCGAAGAAGCGGGTTACCCTTTGGAAGCTTAGGCCAGCGAGGCGATTTACCTGGTTCTCCGTCCAACGGCTTTGTAATTCCCCGAGAAGCGGCGGCGAGAGATTCGCGGTGCGGCTGGGACGACTCGAGAACCGGCGGAGGAGACTGGAGCAACCGCGGCGGGAACGGCGGAAATGGGGGGTTGTTAGGCGGGGGAAACGGCGGCGAGGGGATGTATGGAAGCGGGAGCATGCACGGGATGGGCGTGGGAAGAGGAGGGGGAGCGGGGGGCGGCGGGGGGGGGAACGGGTCGGCGCGCGCAGCGTCGATGTACGCGGGGTTGGCGGGGCTGGAGGGGCTGGGGGGGCTGACGGGGAGCACGTACGCGGGGATGCTGGCCACGGGTTCGGAACACGGCGGGGGGGGCGGTGGCGCAGGGGGGAACAAAGCGCAAAATGCGGCGGCCATGAGGTGAGGGAGGGAGGCACGTTCGAGTGGAGGCTCGTTCCCCACATCCGTTTCCCCATTCCGTCCCCCATTCCGCTCCCCCATTCCGCTCCCCCATCCATACCTCCGTTCCCTTGGACCGCTCAGTTCCCCCATCCGGTTCCCGTATCCCCTTCCCCCATTCTTGTCCCCCGTTCCATCCCCCCATTGTGTTCCCCCGTTCCATTCCCCCACCCCATTTCCCTTCCCCCATTCCTCCATTCTCTTCCCATGCCGTTCCCACAATCCCTTCCCCCCATTCCGTCCGTCCCCTCCGCTGGCCCATCCCTCCCAGAGCGATGCAAGCAGCCAAGCTCCGAGCCTCCAAGACAGCCTTGGAGCGGCACGACGTGGAGATCATAGGCTCGGGACCGGAGCTGCTGATCTTCTCACACGGCTTCGGGTTCAACAAGAACGTGGGTGGCACGCGTGGTAACCATCCCAGTGGTAACCCATCTCACTGGTAACCACTTCATTGGTAACCCTTCACTGGTAACCCCTTCATCACTGGTACCCACCCTACTGGTGATAACTTATGAGTCAACTCAGAAGTCGCGTCGAAGCTGCTACTCTTCTCACACCGCTTCGGATACAACAAGAACGTGGGTGCCACTTGTGGTAACTGCTTTATTGGTAACCGCTTTGCTGGTAACCACCTCGTGGTAACCACCTCACCGTCTGTATCCCCTTGTAACGGCCTGTTCATCTCCCTTTCCGTATCTCCCTTGATCTCCCGTTTCCTCTCCGGGGTCATGTGTTGCAGGTGTGGCGCGGCGTGATCAAGGCACTGGACAAGACTCGCTATAAGATTGTTCTCTACAACGTCACAGGCGCTCTGGGGTAAGCCCAGTCCGCTCCAGCAACGTCAAGTCCTTTTGGAGGCTTTCAAACGAACACTGCTGCTCGCACAAACCCCTGCTGCCTACTCTAGCAGTCGCTCTGTCTCCTCCCATACATTCCCCTACCCCCCCTTCCCCCCACCAACTTTTCGGATGTCTCAATAGATCTCCTTAGGGAAATCTAGCTACCAGCACCGTCGCTCTGCATCCTGCCATACCCCTGCCTCCCCTGTTCCCGGACCACGATGTGTTCGACCACCGGCGCCCTCCCGGCTCCCCCCACAGCACGGACATTTGACTACCAGCGCTACAGCTCACTGCACGGCTTCACGGACGGACGACCTCCTGCTGTTGCTACTACCAGCGCTATATCACCCTGCATGCTGCACGCTGCTCGCCTCACCTCCCTCCCTCCTCTGTGCCTTCTCTTCCCCCACCGTCCCCCCTCACAGCACGGACTATGACGCGTTTGACTACCAGCGCTACAGCTCACTGCATGCCTTCACCTCGCACGTGATGCACCTCCGCTCTCCAATACCACACCCCTCCGCGCCCTCCCGCCATCTCTACCCCTCCCCCAACCGTCCCCCCTCACAGCACGGATTATGACGCGTTTGACTACCAGCGCTACAGCACACTGCATGGCTTCACGGATGACCTGCTGCTGCTGCTTCAAGAGCTGGGCGTCGAGGTCAGTGCCCCTTAACATTGCAGGGTATTTTCCATAATTTTCAGAAACACCCGGATGACCACTTGCTGCTGCTGCTGCACGACCTGGGCGTGGAAGTCATTCCTGCTCGCCTGCCCCCCTGCTCTCCTTCTTCCTCCATCTGCACCGCTCTGAATCCACGTGGCTTGCTCTCCACCCGTTCCCCGTGTATGTGTGGAGCCATGGCCATGCATGGTTGGGTGCGAGGGCAGCAGTGCGTTCCTCTGAATCCCTCTAGTTTCTCGGATTCCCTCTGAATGCACTGTGGTGTGGCAGCAGAAGGCAGGCGTGTGGCACAGCTGGCATCCCCGAAACGCCCTCCATCTGATTCCCTTCAAATCCCTCTGAATCACTCTAAGCTCCTCTATACCCATCTGGAACCCGTGCTCGTGCTGGCGCATACGTGCAGGGGAGGGAGCGCGGGCAGCAGTGCACGGTGGTGGGGCAGCAGCAGGCGGGCATGGTGGCGCTGCTGGCATCTTTGGAGCGCCCCACACTCTTCAAGCGCATCGTGCTGCTCAGCTCCTCGCCCCGGTGAGTCATGCGTCGTTACATGGTAACCAGGTTGCTTCGAGGTGCCTCAAGAGCAGCAGGCAGGCATGGTGGCACTGCTGGCATCACTGGAGCGCCCCACACTCTTCAAGCGCATCGTGCTCCTCAGCTCTTCACCGCGGTGAGTGATTCCTCGTTACATGGTAACCAGGTTGCTTCGAGTTGCCTCAAGAGCAAGCAGCAGGTGGGCATGGTGGCGCTGCTGGCGTCCTTGGAGCGCCCCACGCTCTTCAAGCGCATCATGCTGCTCAGCTCCTCGCCTCGGTGAGTCATGCCATTCCTCTTCAGGCCGTTGAGGCTCCTCAGAACAAGAAAAGGCTTGTGAGGTGCCTCAAAAGCAAGCAGCAGGCAGCAGCAGGCAGCAGCAGGCGGCAGCAGGCAGCAGCAGGCGGCAGCAGGCAGCAGCAGACAGCAGCAGGCAGCAGCAGGCAGCAGCAGGCAGCAGCAGGCGGGCATGGTGGTGCTGCTGGCCTCCTTGAAACGCCTCACGCTCTTCAAGCGCATATTGCTGCTCAGCTCCTCTCCACGGTGAGCCATGCCTTGTTACGTGGTAACCAGTCCTGGATCGTAATGGTAACCAGACCTGGGTTCATCATGGCAGTTCTAAGGGACGTGATTGGATTGCGAGGCTAGATACCACAGTAACACACACGTGCCATACCTTCATGCCTGCTTCCGTGTGGCTTTCATGCCTGCCCCACTCTCTCATCCTCCCACATTCCCTCACGTGCCCTCTTTCCCTTGTTGAGCGAGCAGGCTATTGGGAGCAGAGGGGTATGAGGGGAGCTACGCACTAGAGGACCTGGATCAAGTGTTTGGCATCATGCAGGGCAACTTCAAGGTGAGGGTAATGCGTGCCTCTTCACTCGTTCTGTAAACACGCAGTTCAACTCTACAAGAACACACCCACATGCTTTCCGCCAAAGCTTTCACATTTCTTTCCGAAACATAGTCATCACGATGTTTCTCTCTATCCTTCTCTGCCCTGCTTTGCTCTCTCTGTCCTTCCCTGTTCTCCCCTGCCCTGCCCTGCAGCTGTGGGTGTGCAACTGTGCGCCGGTGCTGACAGCAGATGACATCAAGGCAGGGCACGTGTGAAAGAGCTTGCAGGCTCATTTCAAATGGACGTGACTTGTCTTGAGAGCAAATCAGCCACCTTTCTCTCCCTGCCCCGCCCTCCCTGTCCTGCTCTGCCCCCACCTGGCCTGTGTGTGCAGCTGTGGGTGCGCAACTGTGCACCGGTGCTGACAGCAGATGACATCAAGGCGGGGCACGTGAGGGAGTTTGTGCGCCCGCTCTTCCTTCTTCGCCCAGACATCGCCTTCAGCTTCCTCAAAACCGCCTTCGCGTGTGACGTGCGCGATATCCTCCCAAGGGTGAGTGCTTATGCAGTGCTCATGCCGCGCTTGAGGCAGATGGATGGATGGCACAGCAGCCCTCTCTGCTTTGCTCTTCCTGCTGCGCCCAGACATCGCCTTCAGCTTCCTTCCTCAAAACCGCCTTCACCTGTGACGTGCGCGATATCCTTCCAAGGGTGAGTGTGCGAGCATTCTGAAACCGTCTGCCGTGCATGGGAGCTTGGTCTCCCAAACTTGACTGCCGCTTTTCCTGTGTGGCATGAAATTTTTTATTGTCTTGAGTTTTGTTGTTGTTCTTTGAGCTGTATGCCCCTGCACTTTTGTTGATTTTCCCTCGGGTTACTTGCAGGTGATGGTTCAGGTTCACATGCTGTTCTTCTCTGGGGAGCCTACAGTTCCCGAGTCTGTCATGCAATACATGCTCAAGGCTATACCGAATGCATATGGCGAGCTCCTTCCGACAAGATCGCTTCAAGATTCTCCCGAAGTAGTTGCAAATTCTCTAGAGAAGCACCTAAGCATGCCGCTTCGGGATCCCTTTGGCCATTCTAGTCGGAGAATGATGAACACTCGCATACCGTTGCCATCTCAAGAAGAAGGTGAAGAAGGTGATGATGGTGGGGAGACCCGGGAGGATATACTTTGAGTTGAATGTTGTGTATATTATTCAATTCCCCCTAAGTATGGGGATTTTGACACCAATACAGGTATGCCTTGTTACAGACTATCAATGAAGCTCCTTCCCCGATCTAAGGGCTGCCGGCGTGACAGCATGGAGGAAAACTGAGCCTCCATTGGCTCTGAGCCTGAATTTGACAGGTTGCACTGCCAAGTTTGCGCTCCACGATGGCGAAGTGTGAATACAGGCTGGCAAGCTCGACAACTCAGCATCCCTCCAGCTTCGCTGGACATCACCGACAAATTTCAAGGTTTCCACCTTACTCGAGTGCCAAGGGCATCCCACACCAACGTCACATTGCCCTGGTCAATTCGCACCAGCGAGCAATTTTTCATCGACGAACAAATATTACGGCGAACTCGCTTGCAGCGGAAAGTGCTTCGCTTGTATTTTCGCACGACCTCGCAGCGGGTACGGAATGCTATGCCATGTGACCAATTCTTGTTTCTGCTTTGGTTGCTTTCTCGAACTCCCCCAAAACATCGTCCCTCTCCTCCCCAAAGCACCATCTCGCTCAACCTCAACCGTCTTTTAGTTATTCAACTACTCTGCTTCGCTTCCGCCGCGTCGCAAAGCAAGTTTACGACATTGTCCCCTTCAACGGATCTTGCCTACGCGCCTTACCTGGCTTCTCTAAGGCCTCGCGTCTAGGACCCTCCCCCCCCATTTAGACCTGCCTCGCGTGATAGCATCCCTCCCATTTTCTTGTCTGTGACCGTCCGCTCCTTGCTCATTCACTCCGTACAGTTCTCTCATAGGCTCAGTAACCTGGGCGGCAATGGCCGCTCGTCGTTTCGTCTTAACGGCCTTTGTATTGCTACTCGGCGCAGCGTTCGCATTACACATATCTCTGGTTGCTGGGGCCGAAGCGGCAGATCGCGGCAATGTCGAGACATGCACGGCAGCTTCCGACACGGCAGGAGCAGAGGCCAAAACATGCGCCAATGTCGCTGCCGCAGAAAGCGCCGATTCCACCGCTTCTAACGCTTCCGCAGATTCCGCTGATTCTGCTGTCGAGGATGGCGGGAACCCGTCGCTAACGCTGCGCCTCGACATGGCAAGCGGCGGCGGCGGCGATGAAGGCGAGCGGCGCGTGATCCAGCTGTCGTCGTGGCGGCCGCGCGCGTATCTGTTCAAACGGTTCCTGTCGGAGGAGGAGTGCGACCACATCGTCGCACAGGCGACGCCTCGCTTGCAGCGGTAAGTCGCACAGGCGACGCCTCGCTTGCAGCGGTAAGTCGCACAGGCGACGCCTCGCTTGCAACGGTAAGTCGCACAGGCCACGCCTCGCTTACAGCGGTGAGTCGAGGCGCGATGAGTCGCGGAGCAGTGAGCCTGCAGCGGGAGGTGGAGTCTAGCCGACCCACGAACAAAGTCAACGCAGTCAATACAGCCAACACGGTCAGCGCAGTCAACAAAGTTAAAGCGGTGTTTTCTTAAGCGTCTCAAAACTGAGTAGAAATAAATGACTGGTCCACTCCCCTTCCCCTTCCCCCTCCTCCCATAACCCCCCATTTCCCCTTTCCGTCACTCCCGGCCGTCAGATCATCGGTGGTGGACGGTGTGGATGGGCACGTGTCGGTATCGACGGTGCGCACGAGCAGCGGCATGTTCATGGAGAAGGGCGAGGATGACGTCATCGCGCGCATCGAGCAGCGCATCGCCGTCTGGACGTTCCTGCCGCTCGCCAACCAGGAGTCGCTGCAGGTGGGGGGAGGGAGGGGGGGAGGCGGGCATGCAGGTGGGGGAGGGGGAGTGGGGGGGCATGCGGGCAAGCGGGTGCGGGGGGGTGCGTAATGTGACGGCAGGGGTATGCGTCTGGACGTTCCTGCCGCTCGCCAACCAGGAGCCGCTGCAGGTTTGGGGGGGGAGGGGAAGATGAGGGCGTGTGGGGTGTGCGCAGGTGTGGGGGGAATGTGACGGCAGGAGTATGCTTCTGACCTTCCTGCCGCTCGCCTACCAGGAGTCGCTGCAGGTACCGGAGGGGAAGGCGGGAGGGGGGGGAGGGGAGGGGAGGGGATGCGGGCGTGTGGGTTGTGCGCATGCGTAAGGGGTGCGTGATGAGCCGGCAGGGGTATGCTTCTGACCTTCCTGCCGCTCGCCTACCAGGAGTCGCTGCAGGTACGAGGGGTGTGAGGGTGTGAGGGTGTGAGGGCATGGGAGAGTGCGGGGGTGAGGGAGTGTGAGCGTGTTGGTGCCCACTTGCGGACCACTTGTGCCCACACACCCACGCACCAATCCTTCGCTGCTCCCTCCCTCTCTCCACCCCCGCAACACCTCCACCGCCACATACGGCGTGGGGCAGAAGCCCCTTCCCACAAGCCTTTGAAGACGTCTCACAGCTTGCCATGTGCCTACTCCCTTCCCTCACAAGTTGTCCTTTCAATTCCCCGCCTGCCACCCCTTCCCACACCCCCCCCCCCCCCCACCTCCACCCGCACAGGTGCTGCGGTACGGCGTGGGGCAGAAGTACGACCCCCACCAAGTGCTTATCCTCACAGGTTGTCCTTCCATCTCCCACCCACCCCCTCCCCCACACCACCTGTCCTCACAGGTGCTGCGGTACGGCGTGGGGCAGAAGTACGACCCCCACCAAGTGCTTATCCTCACAGGTTGTCCTTCCATCTCCCACCCACCCCCTCCCCCACACCACCTGTCCTCACAGGTGCTACGGTACGGCGTGGGGCAGAAGTACGACCCCCACCACGACTACTTTGACGACCCGCTGCACAAGCAGGTACGCAGCGCACCATGGCACGGCACCCCCGCGCCCAGACAACGCACAAACAAACCGAACCGAACCGAACAGACTGACAATCTTTAACTCTGGCAGAAGTACGACCCCCACCACGACTACTTTGACGACCCGCTGCACAAGCAGGTAGGTACCACGGCTAGCACCTCCGCGCCCAGACAAGGAACAAACAAACTGAAGAAACAGACAATGTTTGACTCTGGCAGAAGTTCGACCCCCACCATGACTACTTCGACGACCCCCTGCACAAGCAGGTACAACGTTATTTTCGCACCTGGAAAGAAAGGAAGAAGAAGATGAAAAAAAAAACATTTCCAGAAAGAAAAACAAAAGAGGAAAAAAGGCTAAACAAATCATGGCGTTTGACGAACTACCTGCACAGCAGCCCGTACCCACACCTGCCCCTGCCTCTGCGAGGTGACTTTTGAGTCGACTCAAAAGTCATCTTGGCGTTTGACGAAGTACCTGCACCAACAGGTACCACAGCAGCCCGTACCCACACCTGCCCCTGCCTCTGCGTGTGCCTGTTTGTGTGCCTGTGCCCGTGCCTGCGTGGGTATATGCTCGCATTCTGTCCATCACAGGGCCCTGTGCTGCTCCCACGTGATAAAAGGGAGTTTTTGAGACGTCTCTAAAACTCCCTGATATCACGTGTGTTTGCCCGTGCCTGCCCATGGGTATATTCTCGCATTATGTCCACGGCCCTGTGCTGCTCCCACATCCCATCACACCCTTCCAACCCTCTCCCCTTGCCTCTCTACCGCCCTCTCCATTCCCCCTCGTCCTGAGGGGAGGCCACCGCTATGCGACGGTGGCGGCGAGACGACCTTTCTTCAACCGCCTTCCTCCCTTCCCTCTCCCCCTTCCCCCCATTGCCATCCCTCTTATCCAGAGGGGAGGCCACCGCAACGAGAAAGTGCTCATGTATCTGAACAACGTGACCAAGGGCGGGGAAACGACCTTTCCTCCTTCCAAGCGTGTTGCCACCCCGTCCCTCCCGCTTTCCCCACTGCCCATTCCCTCCCTATTCAGAGGGGAGGCCACCGCTACGCGACAGTGCTCATGTACCTTAACAACGTCACCAAGGGAGGAGAAACGACCTTCCCAACGAGCAAGGACCCCACTCCCAAGGACGACTCGTGGTCCGACTGTGCTAAAGGCGTGCTGGGAGTGAAGCCCATCAAGGGCGACGCTCTGCTCTTCTTCAACCTGCTGCCGGATGGGACTCCGGATGAGAGCAGTCTGCACCACGCGTGCCCCGTGTTGGAGGGGGAGAAGTGGTCGGCACCCAAATGGATCCATGTGGGGAGTTTTGATGAAGAGCCTGCTGCTGCCTCAGGCTGTGTGGACAGCAACGCCTTGTGAGTACCCACCTGGCTGCATGGATCCTGTTGCATGACAATGCACGTTTCTCGTGTTGCATGCACCGAGAAATACTTACTGGATGGAAAACGACACGCGCCTAAGTGGCTCCACTCCACATTGTCACCTTTCATGAGTGTTCTGCATTGTTGGCTTTCACGAGTCGGTGCCAGAGAAAGGGGGGGACGGCGGTGTTCAAGGGAGTGACTGGGCCTTGAGGGGTTGGAGGGACATGCTTTCTCATGTCCAATTACCCCCCTTCATTCCCCGCCTCCACCGCCTCTCACTGCAGCTGTGAAGCATGGGTGGGGACGGGTGAGTGTGCGCGCAACAGGAAGTACATGATTGGGCCATGACAGAGAGGTGAGAGCTGACTCATACTCTCTCCCATCTCATATCCCCTCCCTATTTCTCCCCCTCGCATTACAGCTGTGAGGCGTGGGCGGAAACTGGAGAGTGTGAGCGCAACAAGGAGTACATGATTGGCACTTCCGGGGCGCCAGGTGCTTGCAGGAAAGCCTGCAATGTGGGCACTGCAGATGCTGATGCTGGTGATCGTGGTGGTGCTGAGAGGTGACTGATTCTCTTTTCCTTATCCCCCTTTCGTGCTTCCAACCCCTGACTTTCAGCTGTGAGGCGTGGGCGGAAACAGGCGAGTGCGAGCGCAACAAGGAGTACATGATTGGCACACCCGGAGCGCCAGGTGCTTGCAGGAAGGCCTGCAACGTGTGCACTGCTGACAGTGACGATGCTGCTGGGGATGCGGATGTTGGTGCTGATGCTGATTCTGATGCTGATGCTGATGCTGATTCTGATGCTTATTCTGATGCTGATGCTGATGCTGATTCTGATGCTGGTACCGAGGATGGTGGTGATGGGGTTGGTGCTGATGGTGCAGCGGCAGAGGAAGCAGGGGAAGCAGAGGCAGGAACGGCTGCTGCTTGAACCAAGCCTTTTTAGATGCAATGAGCGTTACAACTGTCGTTGTATGCCCACTGTCTCGGCAGTTTCAAGTGTATGTGCAGTTTTTATGTCCTACGTATGTGTGCCTCTTAAATTTTTCGTGTTCCATGTGAAATTCAACTGCAATATGCCTACAATTGCACCATATTCGCTCTCAACAGTGTGCATGTGGAGAAAATATCCACCCAGGCATGTACTGGGCCCAGGTGTACACGTTGGCTCGAATATGCTGGCATACACCTACCAGCAAATGCGTTCTACCGTATGTACACAACAGGTAGCAGCGCCTCACGTCACATAGGCTTGAACATCACTGCAAATCTCAGGCTCTTGTAGTTATGATGGTTCTGCTTCTCAGGAGCCAGCACACCCATCAGGCTGCATTGATGGCTGTACGTACGAGCACATGGAGCATGGTAGCATGTGTAACAGCAGTACAGCACCCCTGCACGGGTTTGAACATGACAGTGAAACTGAGGATCTTGAACTTCTCCCCCTTCCCCCTCCCCGCCGCACGTCAATCGGCACAACACACCGCTCGCTCTGACTCACATCAGACACGCGCTTCTCAGGCACCAACCACAGCTGCGAGAAGATAATGCGTTGACTGGCATTTCCCCTGCCCCCCCCCACCTACACCCTTAACTGCTATGTAGGCTTGAACATGACAGTGAAACTCAGGATCTTGAACTTCTCCCCCTTCCCCCGCCGCACATCAATCCATACGACACACCGCTCGCTCTGACTCACATTAAACACCCGCTTCTCCGGCACCGACCACTGCTGGGAGATGGTGGCGTCTATGTCCCCCCCCTCGCACTCACACCCTTCACCCCTACCTACATTGGCTTGAACATGACTGTGAAGCTGAGAATCTTAAACTTCTCCCCTTTCCCGCGCCGCACGTCAATCCTCACAACACACCGCTCGCTCTGACTCACATCCAACACCCGTTTCTCAGGCACCGACCACTGCTGCGAGATGGTGGCGTCTATATCCCCGCCCTCGCACTCGCACCCCTCCACGCACGCCACGTGTCCCACTCCCATTCGCTCGTAGCTGACCAGGTACCGGATCTCCAGCTGGGCCTGTGCGGTTGACGGGTTGTCCAGCTGGAGGGCGGGCTTGTTCTGTGCTGACATGTCAAAGATAAACTCCGCGAAGCTTCCTGGAAGGGGAGAGAAGCGAAATACGAGGGAGTGAGGAGACACGTGCTAAAGTTGAGGGATTGTCCAGCCGACCAGTTGAGGGGTATCACATCTCCATCTGGGCCTGTGCGGCTGACTAGTTTTGCGACGTCTCAAAAGTCTGAGACGTCTCAAAATTCGGAGATGTCTCAAAACCTGACGAGGTACCGGATCTCCAGCTGGGCCTGGGCGGTGGAGGGGTTGTCCAGCTGGAGGGCCGGCTTGTTCTGTGCTGACGTGTCAAATATGAACTCCGCGAAGCTTCCTGGAAGGAGAGAGTGAAGGGAAGGTGAGCGAGGGAGGGGAGCAGTGGGAGTGAGGAGACAAGAGGACAGTCTACACAAAAACACTCGTCCCGCTCCGCAAGCAAAAACGCCCAGAAACATGCTTGCAACACACACTCAAGCACATGGCGCGTGCACATGCCCATGCACGTCCTTGCCCTCACCTGCTTGCCAGGTAGCAAAGCCCGGCTCGGGTGGAGTCGGGGTCCTTGGTGGAGTTGAACCCTCTCACTGCTTCTCACCACCACAGCCCTTCACTGCTGCCATGCACACATGCTCACAACCATGTGCATGCACTTCTTTTCACCTGCTTGCCACGTGGCGAAACCCGGCTTGGGGATCTTGGAGTCGGGGTCTTTCGTGAAGTTGAATCCACTCACTGCCCGCACAGGCGGCACCGTCGCCTCCAGCAGCTCGTACGAGTAGCACAGCGCCACCTGCTCACACCACACCACACCACACCCGACCAGTTCCCACCGTTAGAACATGCTACTTCACAAAAGGGGGACACCTGCACAGGAGGCAGAGTCGCTGCCAGCAGCTCGAACGAGTAGCACAGCGCCACCTTTCCACGGCACGGAAACTGAAAGCTCACATGCAAGAAAGAAACCGTAGACTAGTTTCTCAAAGCAACAGCCGCTGCAATTGGTGCAGTCACGCACCTGCTCGCCCTGCCCTCCAAACTCCCCCGGGAACCAGCGTGCGAAGAGCGGCGGCGGCACCTTGAGCAGCTCCAACTCCGCTGCTCTCTCCTCCATGGACGCTTTCATGGCTGCCCTCTGGCGGTCAAAGAAGCCTGGCATATGAGGATGGAGCAGGAGGGAAGGAGGGAGGGGAGAGAGGGGTGGAGGGAGGGGAGGAGAGAGCCGCGGAGGCACCTTGAGGAGCACCAGCTCTGCTGCTCTCTCCGCCATCGAGGCTTTCACGGCTGCCCCTTGGCGGTCAAAGAAGCCTGGTCTGGGGGGACGGTGCAGATGGAGGAGAGAGGATGAGGAGGAGGGAGAAGAGGTATGAGGAATGGTTCAGAGTTGACTCTGGAGTCGCCCTGCTGTTCAGAGTTGACTCTGGAGTCGCCCTGCTGTTCAGAGTTGACTCTGGAGTCGCCCTGCTGTTCAGAGTTGACTCTGGAGTCGCCCTGCTATTCAGAGTTGACTCTGGAGTCGCCCTGCTGCTCAGAGTTGACTCTGGAGTCGCCCTGCTGTTCAGAGTTGGGCATTAATGCTTTCATGGCTGCCCTCTGGTGGTGAAAGAATCCTGGTGGTAACTTGAATGGCGTGCGGGGGTTCTTACAATTATTGAGGGGCCTCACAAACCGAAAGGGTACCTTGGATGGCGGTGCGGAAGAAGTTGATAAGCACATGAGGAGGGTATGGCATGACTGGCATGGCATGACATGGCATGGCATGGCATGGCATGGCATGACATAAGTGTATTACCTTGGATGGCGGTGCGGAAGAAGTTGATGAGCACGTCGGCGTTCCGCGTGCCGCCTCACACGAAGAGAGGAGCACAGCACACGAGGGGGCACGGGAGGGCACGGGAGGGCACGGGAGGGCACGGGAGGGCATAAGTAGTACCTTGAATGGCGGTGCGGAAGAAGTTGATGAGCACGTCGGCGTATCGTGTGCGAGCGAGCGGCAGGCCCGGATGCAGCCCCATGTCGTCCATGGCTATCAGGTCGTGCAAGCCGAATTGGGGCGCCTGGTGGGTGGTGGTGGGAGCAACGGCAACAGGTTGACGTGGTTGGGAGTGTGATGTGCACCCCGACCTGCCTCTCTAAAGTGGTTCAGGCAAGGCAGCCCAGGGTGCAGCCCCATGTCATCCATGACTATGAGGTCGTGCAGGCCGTAGTTGGGCGCCTAGTGGGTGATGTATGGTGGCGGTGGGTGGTGTGGGAGATAGTGGGTGGGGTGTTGCCCCTGCACCTTCCACGTGCAGCCCCATGTCGTCCATGGCTATCAGGTCGTGCAGGCCGTAGTGCGGTGCCTGGTGGGGATTGTTAGAAATAGGCTGTCAACACTTTGTGTACTCTATTTTATATGGTTTAGGTTATTTGCGGGTTGGGTGTAGATTTGTAATCCCAACCCTATCTGGTTGGGATTCCCTCGTAATCCTGCAAATCTGCCAACTCACCAATTGGAGACTTGCTAGGATTCCCATCCCATCCTTTCCCTAGCTTTGCTCAACCCAACCTTGTTTGTACTTAAGGCCTAGTGCCTTCTTGATCAATCAATCAGTTAAGCTCCAATTCTATCATGGTATCGAGCTAGTAAACTCCGCTCACGCGGAATCCGATCCTTGGCGTCGCGATGGTTCTTTTCCTTTCGGCTCTTTCTCCTTCGATCTCCGGCTTCTTCGCTTAAGCGTTTTTCAACCTTGTTTTCTTCGCGCCGGTCAAGAGCGCATTCGCAATTCTGCCTTTACGCCTCCCGATTTCAAAGGCGACATTTTCCGCCATCAATTTCTCTCAAGTAAGGTTCCGGATTATTCTTCTACCATGACGATTTTCTCGTTTCTCGAATATCACGTTTTTATTTCGAATTCCTTAACTTCGAGCAGCAGAACAAGTCCAGCGGCGCAGCGGAACAGGTCCAGCGGCGCAGCAGAACAGGTCCAGCGGCGCAGCGGAACAGGTCCAGCGGCGCAGCGGAACAGGTCCAGCGGCGCAGCGGAACAGGTTCAGCGGCGCAGCGGAACAGGTCCAGCGGCGCAGCGGAACAGGTCCAGCGGCGCAGCAGAACAGGTCCAGCGGCGCAGCGGAACAGGTCCAGCGGCGCAGCGGAACAGGTTCAGCGGCGCAGCGGAACAGGTCCAGCGGCGCAGCAGAACAGGTCAGCGGCGCAGCAGAACAGGTCAGCGGCGCAGCAGAACAGGTCAACGGCGCAGCAGAGAAGCGGAAAAGGGGCAGCGGCGAAACAGATCATGGGGCATCGGCGAAGCAGAGCAGCAGATCAAAATCCGGGCTTTTCTTTGCCGAAATCGTGTTTCGGACTTCCTTCATTTCAAAAATCGCCGCGCTGCGCGCAGCCGCTAAAGTCACCCGAACTCCGCTCCGCTACGTATCGGAGACTTTAACGCTGCACTTCGCGCGAAATGGCGACTTCAACTTCCACCCTCGTCGGAAACCTCATCATCCTCAACCTTGCTCCCAACGGCACGAGCACCAACTTCGGGGAGTGGTGCTATGGAGTGGAGAAGCACCTCCTTAGCACGGAGCTTAAGGGGATTTGCCTCAAGGAGATCCTCCTCAACCGTGGCAAGGGAAAGATGCCTCTCCCTCCCGATCCTCTTGGCGAAGGAGCCACTGCCGCAGCCAAGACAGCATTTGAGGCTAAGACCACCCAGTATGAGATCGACTTCAGTGTGTGGGAGCAGGCGGATGCAGCAGTGATTAAGGTCTTCATCACCACCACTCCGGTTGAGCTTGTCAAGTCTTACCGCACCTTTCGCTCCGCGCATGACATATGGAAGTACCTCCAGGACCGCTTTCATGACAAAACTGCAGTGGGAGTAGCAATCCTCATTCCTCGCATGTTCCAAATCCGTCTTGAGGAATGCCCGGGCATGGCGGACTACGTTTCTGAAATCCGCAACATCCATGAGGAGCTCAAGGAGATTGGGATCACCTTCCCCGAACAGGCACCTGCAGCTGGGCTTCTCGTAGGACTTACCCCGGCGTACAACGTTACCAGTTCCATGCTCAAGCAGCTCCCCACCAAGGAACTCACCTTCGAGAAAGTCGCATCGGCCCTTCTCTCTGCTGAAAAGGACCTTGCCGCCCAAGCATCCGTCAATGCTGTGCGCTACTCCCCTGGTATCCCATTTCGCTCTCAGCAGGGCCAGAGGCGCAACTCCTTTCCCCCATGCCCCTACATCATTAGGAAGGGTCCACGCGCGGGGCAGAAATGCAACGGCACCAACCACCCTGAGGCCACTTGCTTCAAGAAGCGAGATGACGAGTGGTATGACGTCCATGGTGTCTCCAAGGACAAGCGCCTTCCCAACTGGGCACCACCCCGTCGCGTGAACCAGGTCGAGGCAGTGGAGGAACCTGCCCAGGCATTTGCTAGCACTCCATCTGATGTTCGCCTTAATCTGTTGTTCTCTGGTGCTGGCATTATTAATGAGAAGGAGTCGCAGTACATCGGTGTTTCAACCACACAGGGGATCGAGTTCGTACTAGACAGTGGTGCCACCCACACAGTGCTCAAAGACCAAACCGTTTTCATTCCCTACCAGGCTCCCACCCCTCTCCTTGGAGCCGATTCTAGCTTCTCCATCCAATGCCATGGGACCTCCACAGTTCTCTGTCCAGCCTTCCCATCCGGCACAGTCGCTGGCATCTGTGCCCCAACCCTCCACTATAACCTCCTTGCACAGCGTGAAATCCAACATGCAGGAGTGATCACCATCTTCCCCAATGATGTCGACTACTGTGACCTCTTTGACGCCAAAACCGGCATTCATCTAGCCCGCTTCTCCCTCAACTCCAACAAACTCTACACGCTCGTTGTACCTCCCATTCAAACGTGCTCGCTCACCCACCTTCCGCTCCCTTCCTCAGACTCCTCCACCTGTCACTGCCGTCTCCTTTCCGACAAAACCATGCTCTTCCATCACCGCCTCGGCCACATCAACTTCCGCGCGCTTTTAGACCTTGCCACAAAACAGCTCCTCCACGGCTTTCCAGCCTCACTTCCCTCTCCTACCTCCAACCTAGGGCCGCCTTGCCTTGACTGCGCACAGAGAAAGCTTCGTGAACAGCCCCATCCTCCCACCGAGTCCATCTCCACCGCACCTCTCGATCGCGTGCACATGGACCTTTGGGGTCCAGCTCCTGTTCGTTCCCGTGGCGGCCACTTCTACTTCCTTGTCATCATTGATGACTATTCCCGCTATGTGTCCGTCCACCTTCTCACCGCCAAATCTGAGGCCCCAGCCATCATCATGGAATGGGCCCGGCAGGCTCATTCACACTTCAAAACCAAAATCAAGTTTCTTCATTCTGACGGTGGCGGTGAATTCCGCAACAACGCTCTCAAAGCTTTCTGCTCTACTGAGGGTATTCGTCAGACCTTCACTCTCCCAGACAGTCCTCAACAGAACGGTGTTGCTGAAAGCCGAAACCGCATCTTGGTGCAGATTGCTCGCTGCCTCCTCACTCATGATTCCGCCCTCCATCTCTTTGAGGATACGCCATGCTCCATGCTGCCGCCCTCCACAATCTCCATCCTCATCCTCACCACACCCACACCACCCCCGTAGAGCTGTGGACGGGTCAAAAGCCGTCCGTCCGCTCTCTTCGTGTATGGGGGTGCACTTCCTATGTCCTCCTCAACTCCCAAGCCCGTCGTGCAGCTGGCGGCAAACTTGCTCCCAAAACAATCACGTGCGTGTACCTCGGGCATAACTCAGACTCGCCAGACTACCTCTTCTTCCATCCTACCACCAACAAACTCTATCGCAGCCGAGATGTTTTCTTCGATGAATCCCACCCATTCTACCCCTCCTCCAGGGCTTCCCCTTCTCCGCCTCCTTCTCTCACTTGGGCTGACTTTGACAGTCTTTCTCCTACCGCCACTCCCTCTCCTCCTCTTCCCGCTCCCTCCACCATCTCCGACCCCCCATCACCCGCCTCCCCCTCCAGTATCACGCAGTCTCCCCCGCTCCTTCCCTCCTCCGCCCCTCCTCCCCCATCTCCTCCTCTTTCCTCTCCTTCCGCTCTTGCTCCCACTCCTCCCACAGAGCCCATTCCTCTCATCACCTACCAATGCCGTCCTCCTACTGCTGCTCCTGCTCCTGATCCTGCTCCCGCTCCTGATCTTGACCCCACTCCCACTTCCCCTACCGCTACTCCTCCTCCAGCTCCGCCTCCCTCACCCATCGCTGGTCGCACTCGCTCCAACAAAGCTCTCCAGCCTCTCTCCCTTTCCATTCGTGTCTCTCTCAATCCTCCTCCTGTCGGGGGTGATTATTCCCTCATGCCCTCCCTTCTTGAGGACAGACATGAGGAGTTGATTGACATCGACTCAGCCATACATGCGCTCTGCTCCCTCTTTCCGGATATAGCAGACTCTCCCACCCTCAACTTCTCGGACAACCCCTCCATCCCCACACCTCTCACTTATGCTGAAGCAATTTCAGGTCCTCACGCCGCCCAGTGGCTAGGGGCCATTGTCGCGGAATGTGAGGCCTTCATTCACACAGGAACTTTTAAAGATGTCTCTCCTCCCTCTGGCGTCAACATCGTGAAGGGCAAATGGGTTTTTCGGGTGAAACAACTTCCAAGCGAATTTCATGTCTTCAAAGCCCGGTACTGTGCCAAGGGATTTACCCAAAAGGAAGGACTTGACTTCTTTGCAACTTTCTCTCCCACCGCCAAACCTCCCACACTACGCACCCTTCTCGATGTTGCCGCTCGAGATGACATGGAGGTTGAGAGCATGGATGTGTCTTCTGCGTTTCTTCAAGGGGTCCTTCGAGAAGACATCTATATGGAGCGGCCCGAAGGATTTCCAGCCCCATTTCCACCAGACACTGTATGGAAGCTGAATCGGCCAGTGTATGGCCTCAAGCAAGCACCCCGGGAATGGCACAACAAGCTCAAGAGCACCTTAGGGTCTCTCGACTTTCACCCCTCCACCTCTGACCCCAGCCTCTTCATCCGAGCAACCCCATCCCGCTTTTTCATCCTAGTTTATGTCGACGACATGATCCTTGTCACCAAGGATCAGGCCGAGTTGGCTGCAGTCAAAACCGCACTTGGTGAGAAGTTGGCCATGAAGGATCTTGGGAAGCTGACGAACTATTTGGGCATGGAAATCACACGTGATCGCACGGCCCGCACCATCACCCTCTCACAGAAGTTTTACATCAACAACGTCCTGACGCGGTTCAAGATGCAGGACGCAACATCAATGCCTACCCCACTCTCTCTGCAGCACCAGCTCACTGCGCCCTCTGTTCCCTCACCTGAGCCCTGTGACGAGCCCTACCCCGAGCTCGTTGGATCCCTCATGTACGCGATGATGTGCGCTCGGCCAGACTTGGCCTATCCAGTCAGTGTACTGTCTCGCTACGTTGCACCTGGTCGCTATACTCGTCACCACTGGTCTGCCGCCAAGCGAGTCCTTCGCTATCTCAAAGGCACACAGGACTATGTACTCACTCTTGGCGGCTCTTCCCCTGTTCGTCTTGAGGGATACAGTGACTCCTCCTACGCTGATGACCAGAGTGATCGGCGCTCTTCTCAGGGGTATTGCTTTACCCTTGGCAGCGGGGTTGTGAGTTGGCGCGCCACTCGTTCGTCCTCCGTCTCACTGTCTACATGTGAGGCAGAGCTGTATGCCGGGACCATGGCTGCCCAGGAGGCCCGTTGGCTCTCCTTCTTGCTGGCCGAACTCGGGTATCCTCAACCAACCCCCACGCTTTGGTGTGACAACGAGAGCACCATTCATCTCACCAATGACCCAGTCTTCCACAGCCGCACCAAGCACATTGAGGTCCGCCATTACTTTCTTCGTGAGCTCGTGCAGCGCGAGCAGCTGAAGGCTGACCACATTGCCTCCGACTGCAACCTTGCTGACTTGTTCACCAAGTCACTTGTTCGCCACGACCATTACCGCCTCCTCTCGGCCATGGGTGTTGGGCCTCCCTGTGGCTGATGTGTTACAGCCTAGGGGGTGTGTTAGAAATAGGCTGTCAACACTTTGTGTACTCTATTTTATATGGTTTAGGTTATTTGCGGGTTGGGTGTAGATTTGTAATCCCAACCCTATCTGGTTGGGATTCCCTCGTGATCCTGCAAATCTGCCAACTCACCAATTGGAGATTTGCTAGGATTCCCATCCCATCTTTTCCCTAGCTTTGCAGGTACTTAAGGCCTAGTGCCTTCTTGATCAATCAATCAGTTAAGCTCCAATTCTATCAGGGATGATGGGTGGTGGGAACAAAGGGGAACCGGTTAACATGGTGCGAGCGAGGGGCAGCCCTGGATGCAGACCCATGTCGTCCATGGCTAGGCTTGAGCAAGGTGGCGAACACCTGTTCGGTTCGCCTCGAAGTTCGAGGCGAACCAAACAGGTTTTGTTTTTCAGCTTAAATCGTTCGCCCGAACGTGTTCGAGGTTCGCCCGAACATGTTCGTGTTCGTGGCGCTGCTGCAGAACGCCCCGTGTCGAACACGAACGTGTTCGAGGTTCGCCCGAACACGCCTCCACATGCGAACAGCGAACACCTGTTTTTGCCTAAACTGTTCGCCGAACCGAACAGTGTTCGGTTCGGCAAAAGGGGGTGTTCGAGAAGGGGCGAACACGAACATGTTCGTGTTCGCCCTTTGCTCATCCCTATCCATGGCTATCAGGTCGTGTAGACCGAAGTGCGGCGCCTGGTGGGTGGGAACATGGGCAAGAGATTAACTATCTCCCTACCATGGTTCACGCGAGGGGCAGCCCAGGGTGCAGCCCCATGTCGTCCATGGCGATCAGGTCGTGCAGGCCGAAGTGTGGCGCCTGGTGGGTGGTGGTTATGGGTGGTGGCAGGTGGTGTGGGAGGAGATGGTGGGGCACCTTGCCCCATTCTCATGCAGCCACATGTCATCCATGGCTATCAGGTCGTGCAGGCCGAAGTGTGGCGCCTGGTGAGTGGAGGGAGAGAATGGTTGGACGGGCAGGACATGGAGATGAACGTGGATAGGCGCTGCTGCAGCCCCACGCCATCCATGGCGATCAGGTCATGCAGGCCGAACCGTGGTGCCTGAAGGGTGGTGGTGGGTGTGAGGCGCCTCAAAAATCGTCTTAGAGCTTTAAGTGGATAGATGCCGTTGATCTGGACGTGGTTGGTTGTTGTTGATGCTGCTGCTGCTCCTCATGCAGACTCCCATGGCACGCGTGGGGAGCGCGAGGAGAGGAAACTGTAATGCGAGTGATGCGAATGAGGCGATGGTGGGGCCCCTTGCCCCATTCTCCTCAGCACGGATGACTTGTGAATAAACTCAACGGACCAACCTGCTGGCCTGCAAGGTTCCAAAACGCATTGCGCATGGAGAAAGCAGGAAAGCAGGAAAGCCATAGTAGCGTGCGAGCACCAGGAAGTCGTCCTCTGTCACTCGGCCCGTGCCTTCTGAATCAACTCATATGCAAACACGAACACCCACCTGCAGGGTTGCGAGGTTCCAAAACGCATTGCGCATGGAGAAAGCAGGAAAGCCGTAGTAGCGTGCGAGCACCAGGAAATCGCCCTTTGTGATGCGGCCCGTGCCTTCTGAGTCGACTAATACGCAAAGGCCCACCCACCTGCTGTGTTGCGAGGTTCCAAAATGCATTGCGCATGGAAATCGCTGGAAAGCCGTAGTAGCGTGCGAGCACCAGGAAGTCGTCCTCTGTGACTCGGCCGGTGCCGCGGCGGTCAAACGAGTCAAACGAGAACACCCCGATGTTCTCCCGCGTCAACGGCTGCTGAGGGCCCTCCTCCACCAACTCCACTCCCGTCTTGGGATCCGTCTGATGGGGCAACGATGGACAGAGAATGGGGCAGGGATGGGAGAGGAAGAGAGCATAAGCAAAACATGCAATGCTGCCCGAGTGAGCGGCTGCTGTGGTCCCTCCTCCACCAGCTCCACCCCTGTCTTGGGATCCGTCTGATGGGGCAAGGATGGACAGAGAGTGGGGGAGATGGGGATGGGAGAGGGAGAGAGTATAAGGAGAGCATGCAATGCTGCCAACGAGATGTCATCACGAGTCAGTGGCTGCTGTGGTCCTTCCTCCAGCAGCTCCACGCCTGTTTTGGGATCCGTCTGATGGGGTTTAGGTTTTAGGGTGACGGCAGCAGCAGAAGAAGAAGAAGTGCATAAAGAGGATGTTATGAGGACCAGGTGGCTTGAGAATAGCCACGTGACGTGAAAGAAGTAGTGTTTTGGGACGTCTCAAAACACTACTTCTGTTATGAGGACCAGGTGGCTTGAGAATACTCAAACGAGACAGCACAACATGGCAGAACACTTGCTGCGTACCAGCCATGTGCGGCACCAGAGGTTCCCCCGGCACCAAAAGAAGAAATGCACAAGGGGATGTTACAAGGAGGACCATGGCATGGCACTCAGTGGCTGGTACTACAAAGAGCACGGTACAACCGGGGGAATGCTTGCTTACCAGCCACGTGCGGCACCAGAGGTTGCCCCGGCACCAGAAGAAGAAATGCACAAAGAGGAAGGGGAGAACTGACCTGCCATTTGCGACCTTTGAGGCGCCTCGAAAGACCTTACCTGCCTGCCATTTGCCGCATGAACCTTCCCAGTGCTTACCAGCCACGTGCGGCACCAGAGGTTGCCCCGGCACCAGAAGAAGAAATGCACAAAGAGGAAGGCGGGCGGTGTGGGCCAGAGCTTGAGCAGGCGCTGCAGCACAATGTCCATGTCCTTGGCTATCTCGGGGTAGCTCGCTGCTAACGCCCACTCAACCACCACCAGATCTACCTCCTTCGGGAGCTTCGCCAGGTACGTGCTCCTGAAATAGGGAGGAGGATGGGTCTTGTTCGATTCAAATGAGATAGCTTGAGCAGGCGCTGCAATACAATGTCCATGTCCTTGGCTATCTCGGGGTAGCTCGCTGCTAGCGCCCACTCAACCACCACCAGATCAACCTCCTTGGGGAGCTTCGCTAGGTACGTGCTCCTGGGGTTGGGGAGAGTGCCGATAGGGGAGAGAGGGGAAAGGGGAGAAGGACGAAAGGGGAGGGATGGGGCGTGCTTGAATAAACTGAGTAGCTCGGGGTAGCTCGCTGCTAGCGCCCAATCCACCACCACTAGACCTAACAGATCTACCTCCTGAGGGGGGAGAATGATGAGGAGGTGGACGAGGGGAGAAATGAGAAGCGACACGGAGAGGGATGAAGCGTGCTGGCATCGAGCAGACGTGGTCCAGAGCACTTCCCCCAGGGCTGCTGCCCTATGGGGCTATTAGGGCTATTGGCCTATTGGGCTCATAGGCTATTGGGCTATTAGGGCTATTGGCTTATTGGGCTAATAGGCTATTGGCCTATTAGGCTATTACGGTATTGGGCTATTGGGCTATTAGGCTATTAGGCTATAAGGCTATTGGGCTATTAGGCTATTGGGCTATTAGGCTATTGGGCTATTAGGCTGTTGGGCTATCTAGCTAATGGGCTATTAGGCTGTTGGGCTATCTAGCTAATGGGCTATTAGGCTACTAGGCTATCGGGCTATTAGGCTATTAGGCAATTGGGCTATTAGGCTATTGAGCTATTAGGCTATTAGGCTATTGGGCTATTAGGCTATAATGCTATTGGGCTATTAGGCTATTAGGCTATTGGGCTATTAGGCTGTTGGGCTATTAAGCTATTGGGCTATTAGGCTATTGGGCTATTAGGCTATTAGACTATTGGGCTATTAGGCTGTTGGGCTATTAAGCTATTGGGCTATTAGGCTATTGGGCTATTAGGCTATTGGGCTACTAGGCTGTTGGGCTATTGGGCTATTAGGCTATTAGGCTATTAGGCTATTGGGCTATTAGGCTATTAGGCCATTAGGCTATTGGGCTATTAGGCTGTTGGGCTATTAAGCTATTGGGCTATTAGGCTATTGGGCTATTAGGCTATTAGGCTATTAAGCTATTTGGCTATTGGGCTATTGGGCTATTGGGCTACTAGACTATTTGGCTACTAGGCTATTGGGCTATTAGGCTATTGGGCTATTAGGGCTATTAGGCTATTGGGCTATTAGGCTATCAGGCTATTAGGCTATCAGGCTATTAGGCTATTACGCTATTAGGCTATTAGGCTATTGGGCTATTGGGCTATTAGGCTATTCGGCTATTAGGCTATTCGGCTATTAGGCTATTGGGCTATTAGGCTATTGGGCTATCAGGCTATTGGGCTATTAGGCTGTTGGGCTATTAAGCTATTGGGCTATTAGGCTATTGGGCTATTTGGCTATTAGGCTATTAGGCTAATAGGCTATTGGGCTATTGGGCTATTGGGCTACTAGGCTATTTGACTACTAGGCTATTGGGCTATTAGGCTATTGGGCTATTAGGGCTATTGGGCTATTAGAGCTATTAGGCTATTAGGCTATTAGGCTGTTAGGCTATTAGGCTATTGGGCTATTGGGCTATTAGGCTATTCAGCTATTAGGCTATTCGGCTATTAGACTATTGGGCTATTAGGCTATTCGGCTATTACGCTATTGGGTTATTAGGTTATTAGGCTATTGGGCTATTAAGCTATTGGGCTACTGGGCTATTGGGCTATTAGGCTATTAGGCTTTTGGGCTATTAGGCTATTAGACTATTGGGCTATTAGGCTACTGGGCTATTAGGCTGTTGGGCTATTAAGCTATTGGGCTATGAGGCTATTGGGCTATTAGGCTATTGGGCTATTAGGCTATTAGGCTATTAGGCTATTCGGCTGTTGGGCTATTAAGCTATTAGGCTATTAGGCTATTGGGCTATTGGGCTATTAGGCTATTCAGCTATTAGGCTATTCGGCTATTAGGCTATTGGGCTATTAGGCTATTGGGCGATTACGCTATTGGGTTATTAGGTTATTAGGCTATTGGGCTATTAAGCTTTTGGGCTACTGGGCTATTGGGCTATTAGGCTATTAGGCTACTGGGCTATTAGGCTATTGGGCTATTAGGCTATTGGGCTATTAGACTGTTGGGCTATTAAGCTATTGGGCTATGAGGCTATTGGGGTATTAGGCTATTAAGCTATTTGGCTATTAGGCTATTAGGGTATTGGGCTATTAGGCTATTTGGCTACTAGGCTATTGGGCTATTAGGCTATTAGGCTATTGGGCTATTAGGCTATTGGGCTATAACGCTATTACGCTATTGGGCAATTGGGCTATTAGGCTATTGGGCTATTAGGCTATAATGCTATTGGGCTATTAGGCTATTAGGCTATTGGGCTATTAGGCTATTGGGCTATTAGGTTGTTGGGCTATTAAGCTATTGGGCTATTAGGTTATTGGGCTATTAGGCTATTAGGCTGTTGGGCTATTAGACTATTGGGCTATTAGGCTGTTGGGCTATTAGGCTATTGGGCTATTAGGCGATTAGGCTATTAGGCTATTGGGCTATTGGGCTATTAGGCTGTTGGGCTATTAAGCTATTGGGATATTAGGCTATTGGGCTATTAGGCTATTAGGCTGTCGGGCTATTAAACTATTAGGCTATTAGGCTGTTGGGCTTTTGGGCTATTAGGCTATTCGGCTATAAGGCTATTGGGCTATTAGGCTATTGGGCTATTACGCTATTGGGCTATTAGGCTATTAGGCTATTGGACTATCAGGCTATTGGGCTATTAGGCTGTTGGGCTATCAAACTATTGGGCTATTAGGCGATTAGGCTAATAGGCTATTGGGCTATTGGGCTATTGGGCTACTAGGCTATTTGACTACTAGGCTATTGGGCTATTGGGCTATTAGGCTATTGGGCTATTAGGGCTAATAGGCAATTGGGCTATTAGGGTATTAGGCTATTAGGCTAATAGGCTGTTGAGCTATTAAGCTATTAGGCTATTAGGCTATTGGGCTATTGGGCTATTAGGCTATTCAGCGATTAGGCTATTCGGCTATTAGGCTATTGGGCTATTAGGCTATTGGGCTATTATGCTATTGGGTTATTAGGGTATTAGGCTATTGGGCTATTAAGCTATTGGGCTATTGGGCTATTGGGCTATTAGGCTATTAGGCTATTGGGCTATTAGGCTATTGGGCTATTACGCTGTTGGGCTATTAAGCTATTGGACTATGAGGCTATTGGGCTATGAGGCTATTGGGCTATTAGGTTATTAGGCTATTTGGCTATTAGGCTATTGGGCTATTAGGCTATTTGGCTACTAGGCTATTGGGCTATTGGGCTATTAGGCTATTGGGCTATTAGGGCTATTAGGCTATTGGGCTATTAGACTATTAGGCTATCAGGCTATTAGGCTGTTGGGCTATTAAGTTATTAGGCTATTGGGCTACAGGGCTATTGGGCTATTAGGCTATTCGGCTATTAGGCTATTCGGCTATTAGGCTATTCGGCTATTAGGCTATTGGGCTATTAGGCTATTGGGCTATTACGCTATTGGGTTATTAGGCTATTAGGCTATTCAGCTATTAGGCTATTGGGCTATTAGGCTATTGGCCTATTAGGCTATTAGGCTATTGGGCTATTGGGCTATTGGGCTATTAGGCTGTTGGGCTATTAAGCTATTGGGCCATGAGGATATTGGGCTATTAGGCTATTAGGCTATTAGGCTATTAGGCTATTGGGCTATTAGGCTATAAGGCTATTAGGCTATTTGGCTACTAGGCTATTGGGCTATTAGGCTATTAGGCTATTGGGCTATTAGGCTATTGGGCTATTAGGCTATTAGGCTATTGGGCTATTAGGCTATTAGGCTATTGGGCTATCAAGATACTGGGTTATTGGACTATTAGGCTATTGGACTATTAGGCTATTAGGCTATTAGGCTATAGGGCTATTGGGCTATTGGGCTATTAGGCTATTGGGCTATGGGGCTATTGGACTATTGGGGTATTAGGCTATTAGGCCATTGGGCTATTAGGCTATTAGGCTATTGGGCTATTAGGCTATTGGGCTGTTAGGCTATTAGGCTATTGGGCTGTTAGGCTATTGGGCTATTAGGCTGTTGGGCTATTAAGCTATTGGGCTATTAGGCTATTGGGTTATTAGGCTATTAGGCTATTGGGCTATTAGGGCTATTAGGCTATTGGGCTATTAGACTATTAGGCTATTAGGCTATTAGGCTGTTGGGCTATTAAGTTATTAGGCTATTGGGCCATTGGGCTATTGGGCTATTAGGCTATTCGGCTATTAGGCTATTCGGCTATTAGGCTATTCGGCTATTAGGCTATTGGGCTATTAGGCTATTGGGCTATTACGCTATTGGGTTATTAGGCTATTAGGCTATTCAGCTATTAAGCTATTGGGCTATTGGGCTATTGGGCTATTAGGCTATTAGGCTATTGGGCTATTAGGCTATTGGGCTATTACGCTGTTGGGCTATTAAGCTATTGGGCTATTAAGCTATTGGGCTATGAGACTATTGGGCTATTAGGTTATTAGGCTATTTGGCTATTAGGCTATTGGGCTATTAGGCTATTGGGCTACTAGGCTATTTGGCTACTAGGCTATTGGGCTATTGGGTTATTACTCTATTGGGCTATCAGGCTCTTGGGCTATTGGGCTATGGGGTTATTACTATTAGCTCCAATGGCTAGGCAGCTAGAAGGAGTGCTCGGAGGCATGCTGGCAGCAGGCAGCCCTTGCATTGAACCGCTAGCCATTCACCCATGGCAACACATGAGAACCGCACTCACCCCAGGCACTTGGCCCAGGGCTGAGGACCGATGGCCCCAATGGCGAGGTTGAGCAGCCAGTACGGCTGCTGGGGGGGCTGGTCCTGCGCTGGCACGGCGTCAAGGAGAGGCGCAGTGGAGAAGTCACTGCAGGTGCTCAACTCACCTCATTCACTCATCCCAACCCCACACACTCACCCCACGCACTCACCCCAGACATTTCCCCCAGGGCTGTGGCCCAATAGCCCCAATGGCGAGGTTGAGCAGCCAGTAGGGCTGCTGGGGGGCTTGGTCCCCCGCTGGCACGGCGTCGGGGAGAGGAGTTGCGGAGAAGTCGTGCGGTTTGCTGGGTGGGAACGCTGCTAGCAGCCAGTCTAGTGCTGCTGTGAGCCAGCCGTCTGGATGCACCACTCTGGTGGGGTGAGAGGAACAAGGGAAAGGGGAATGGAGGAGGATGGAGAGGGGGTTAGAAGCAGTGGCGCGTTGGAGAAGACAAGAGGGCGGTTGGGACGGGGAGAGAGTGGAGAGGGGGAGAGCAGAGGGAACGGAAGAGAAGACAGACGAGGTGGGGTTTTTAGATGAGGAAGGTCTCGACTCGGAATCAAGTTCGCGCTCAGAATCGGGGTTGGGATCAGGCTTGTGGAATCAGGCCTGGGATTAGGCTTGGGAACAGGATTGGGATCAGGCCTGGGATTAGGCTCAGAACTGAGTAAAAAGGCAACATAAATGAGAGTGCTCCCCCTCACCGGCCGAATTCAAAGGCGTCGAGGTTGAGCAGCTTGAGCTGCGGCCCCTTCCTGCCTCCAAACTCCGACGTGCAGCTGCTGCCGATGGCCACCACTGTGATGGGCTCTCGCCGCACTATGATCTGCATGGGTTATGGGGGGAGGGAACGGGCGTATGGTGCATTCAACAGTGCTTGAATGAACTCCCCTCCACATTCCCCCCAAACCCCTCTCCCAAGAGGGATCGCCTTGTGCTACCTGCCATTACCCTCCCTCTTCCCCTTCAACCCCGGCATGCCTTGTGCAGCAGCTGGCAAACTGAACCGAACCAAACTGAACCGAACCAAACTGATCCGAACCAAATTAAACCGAACCAAACTGAACCGAACCAAGCTGAACCAAACCAAACTGAACCAAACCAAACTGAACTGAACCGAAGAAAAGCACAGCAGCATGTTGCAGTCATGCACGATGCATTGCCTCCTCACACACACTGCGGTGAACACATGACCAGCCTATACCCTCTGCATCTGCTGCTACCCGCCTCACCGCAACCCCAACGTGCCGTACGCAGCAGGCGGTCTAAGCGCAGCATGTCCCCCTCGTACACGATGCCTCGTCTCAGCCACCAAACAGACACTGGAGTCAGCTGGGGAGGCAACCGGAGTCAGTGCATCCCCATCCCCCCATCCCTTCCAGCCTTAACGTGCCTTGTGCAGCAGGCGGTCGAAGCGCAGCATGTCCCCTTCGTGCGCGATGCCTCGCCTCAGGACGGCGCGCGGCACATGCGGACTCCACGGCGGCAGCTGGTTACCGCCATCGCTACCGTCGCCGCTGCGCTGTTCGTGAGTGCAATTCACACGCGAAAGAGCTGAAGGTCGGGGAGAGGATGTGTGACCGGGAATGACGAAGAGCAAAGGTTGAAGCGTCGCACAGGGTAAAAAAGGTTGGGAAGATGCAGGTAGAGGATGCGCGACCAGAGATGATCTAGGTGACGAAGCTGAAACGGGGGTTTGGCGAATCGCGATTAGAAACGGGTGATGGAGGTCGGACGTCAGGAAGTAACATACTTGTAAAACCAATCATACGTCCTTAGCTGGTACTACAATTCATACCTCCCTAGCTACTTGTCATAGTACGTCGCATTACGCTACGATCACCTTCCACGTGGGACGCTGCAAGCACTCTTCTTCGCGTGCCTCCCGTCTCCGATCCTTCCTGCCTCTGTCTATCACGCAGTTCCGCATCTACCGCGGCCCTGCTGCGAGGAGTCGCTAGCCCGCGTCCCGACAGAACTAACAACAGAACGACAAGTGTCACCAATCTCGTCCTTCTTCTAAAAAAAAAATCTATAGAAAGCAGCGAGCTTGATGTTTCGAAATCCATTGCTGCTTTCATCGAGGCGGCATCTCCAGGCTGACGCTGGTCCTGACGGACTGTGGTGCTTCTACTACTAAAAGTGAGAGGACAGTGCGGATGAGGGATTGAGATTTCCGTCTCCGGAATGTCGCTCACCGTTCGCGAGTATCTCGTCAACGTGACGGTTGTTCGCCTAATGTGCCTCTCCTGCGTCCCTGTTGGCGATCTGGTTTCTAATTGGCTATGTGTCGTCACCACCAACCTCTACCCTGTAACTCCTTCGTCATTCTCAATAATAGCAGAAAAGTGGAATGCGACTTTCGGGCACGAAACATTTTCTGGCGCGACAACTGGTAACCGAAATGCCCTTGCGAAGTGCCGGCACCACCCAGTTACCGACAGTCCCTAGAATCTGGATTCACGCCCAGCCAACTACAAAAATACATTCTGAAACCTTCTGTCTTCGTTTCCCAGATTGCGGGAATTTTACTTGGTTTGTTATTAGGTGAACAGACACAATCCTGATCCATGGCCGACGCGCGCTCCGTCTGATCCCCATCTCGTATCGTATCTGTCATCAAAGCTATGGCCTCGACCGCTGTAGCCACCGTGGTAGCGTCGCCTCACCTAACCACCGAATTCATCGTCAAACCCCTCGTGTACGACGCACTGCTGTAGCTAAGCCTAGCTTCCGCATCGCGTTTAGTCGCTTCTACCTCACCTGTGTGCCTTACCCTTCGATCACCGTCCCGTCGTCTTTCCCGATCTCCTGTGTTCTCGCACTCTGTTCTTTCAGGGTCCTACTCAGCTTCGCATATCCGTTTTACGCTAGCTTCAAGGCTCTGGATTCGCAATCATCGGACAACAAGGCGCAATGGCTCACGTATTGGACCGTCCTAGCGTGCATTAACTTCGTCGAATCCATCTTCTACTGGGTCCTCGTCTGGTACGTTGCACGTCCGTCTCACCGATCCAGTCGTCCTTCCTGTCGAAGCGACTTCATATTTTAGGTTCGGGTTCATTGTAGTCTGGAAACTCGACTGCCCCCTTCGCTTCATTCGGCTTTGAACTGGCGATGATGCACTGTCGTCTATGTTTGATTCCCTCACCACGATCTTTGAGACGTCTCGAATGTCGACTCTGCTTGTTGTTATGCGCACGACCTCCGTCCCTCACACTCACCACCGGGACTTGCCGAATTCGTCTGTTGCTGAATGCATCTGTGGCGTACAGGCTTCCCATCTTCTTCTCCCTCAAGCTCCTCTTCGTTCTGTGGCTCCAACTACCAATGACAAAGGTCAGATGATACTCTCTTCTTAGTCCCGTGTCGCCAAAGAGTCACTTAGCTTTTGTGCCATTGTTGAAATCGTCAAAGATTCATTTAGACCCCCCATCTTTCTTCTCCTCGGTCCGTGTAACTCGCCGCCAGAGAGTCACTCTGTGCGAGCTCAGTCTGCCATCTCCCTAGTGTTGTGTTCCTGATTTCGTGTCCCGTTATGTGTTGTCTCGTTATCCGCTATACTGTCAGGGTGCCAGCATCATCTACTGGAAGTTCCTGTATCCGCAAATCAAGAAGCACGAGGATAAGATCGACAGTGCTGTCTCCGCGGGTCAGAAGAGAGTCATGCGCATGAAGGATCAATGGGCCAGCATCCCGGTGAGTGGTGGCATTTTATTTGAATAAGGTAAGTCAACTAAACACAAGCACGAGGATAAGATTGACACTGCAGTGACGACAGGTCAGAAGAGAGTCATGCGCATGAAGGACCAATGGGCCAGCATCCCGGCCAGGATCATTCTGTTGCTAAAATTCCCACCAGCCCAGTCCTCCTCCCCACCATCTTTCACCCCCGCCCTCCTCTCCCTCCTGGCATGCCTGGCTCACAGTACCCACCGTTTCCCACCCCCTATCCCTCTGTTGATACGGCCATGGCAGGTCATGTCGTCGTCAGCCACAGTGAGCAGCCGACCATCCGTGGCAGAGAAAGTGCAAATTGATCTCACATTTTCATCCCCGCCCCCCTTTCCCAACCCCCAATCCCTCTCTTGATACGGCCATGGCAGGTCACGTCGTCATCAGCCACAGTGAGCAGCCGGCCATCAGCGGCAGAGAGAGTGCTACAGGAGATGGAGGCAGGGGATGCAGGGGAGAAGGGCGAATAACAGTTATACACTACTTAGTAGTACACTGAAAGTGGAGTTTCATACTCATAGAAAGCATTAATTCAAGTGCGGTCTACAGCATAATATCAGTTAGAGAGGAGGGTGAGAGGAGAGGGCATCATCTGCCTACGATATATTGTGCACAGCCTCCTGCCAAAGCGCATCACCTAATAGAAACCAAGGTCTGTAGGCACCTAACCTAAGATACATTGGTACCTAGTGGCAGGGCAATCTGCTTGAGTTGTCTGTCATATAATCTATCATGTTCTTCTGCAGATTATATACCGTAGCTGTCCCAAACCTCCAGCTTCGCCTACGCCACCAGAACCCCCTGAAAGGCGTGCAGCTACAGCAGCAGCAGGAGCAGTACCAAAGAAATCTAGAACACTGTGTGAGAACCTCTTTGAACTAGACTGCACCTACTTCTTCTTGCGGTACAGCCCATCTCGCAGCTCCAGCTTCTCCTGCGCCAACAGCACCCCCAGAAACGCGTGCAGCTGCAGCTGCAGCAGGAGGAGGGTTACCAGACAAGGCAAACCAGGCAAGAACCGCTCTAAACCGGACAGCAACCTACTTCTTCTTGCGGTACAGCCCATCCCGCAGCTCCAGCTTCTCCTGCGCCACCAGCACCCCCAGAAACACATGCAGCTGCACCAGCGAGCGGTCATATGGCGGGTCGAAGACAAACATCTTGAGCATGTTGTGGATGCGCTCTATAGGCAGGCCGTCAAACGTGGTGAGCATGCCTGTTATGAACGACTCATGCACCGCACTCTCCTGCTTCCTCTGCGCTTCCAAGGAGGCCAGAACCGCTCTGAACAGAACCATAACTACTTCTTTTTGCGATATAACCCATCCCTAAGCTCTAGTTTCTCCTGCGCCACCAGCACCCCCAGAAACGCGTGCAGCTGCGCCAGCGAGCGGTCATACGGCGGGTCAGACACAAACATCTTGAGCATGTTGTGGATTCGCTCTATAGGGAGGCCGTCGAATGTGGTGAGCATGCCTGTTATGAACGACTCGTGCACCGCACTCTCCTGCTTCCTCTGCGCTTCTAAGGAGGCCACCATGCCTCCCCCCTCCTCCTCCTCGTCCTCATCCCCGATTAGCAACTCCCCGCCTGCTACCAAATCCTCTCCCTCTCCATCACCTCGCAACCCACCCAGCCCAGCACCCTCACCAGCAGCAGCAGCATCCGCGTCACCATCACCATCTCTATCCCCATAACCACCCCCACCAGCAGCAGCAGCAGCAGCAGAAGCAGCAGGATCTACATGGTGGTCAACCACCGTGAAAAGAGGTTCCGGAGGCGACCGATTGGTCGCGACCGATTCGACAATCACGCCCTGATTCACCCAGAATGTGATTCGCCGACGCAGCACTGGCACTGACAGGCCCACTGCTGACGCCAGCTCAGATGCCGCCCACTGCGGCATCGCCTCGTCCTCCTTATTAGCTTCTCCGTTTTCTGCACCGTCACCTGCACTTTCTGCCCCTTTCTCCCCTCCTGCTCCGGCTGTTTGGAATTTCAGGATAATGGCTGCTTGAACGGGCGTCACAGTGTACTGCTGGCTGTTACGCCCGTTACCAAACTCCAGCTCGATTGTAACGCACCCAAGATTCCCCTTCCACTGCAACTTGCGGGGCGCTTTGAGCGTCGCATAGTTGGCTGAATATTCCTCCATCAGCTTCGTTACCGGCGCCGGTAACCGCACCGATTCCTCCTGGAAAGCCGGCCAAAAGAGCGCCGAGACGATCGTAGCGTCCAGTTTCTCTGCTTCTAGCAACTCCTCTTTCTCCTCTGGCTTCACCTCCTCCTCTTCCTCCCCTCCTTCCATCTCCTCCTCCTCCTCCTCCTCCCCAATCCTCCCTCTCTCTGCGTTTTCTTCCCCCCCTCCCTCTCCCCCCAGTGCGTCCATAACATCCCAGAATCCCCCCTGCCCGCCCCTCCCACTGCCCCTGTTCCCCCCCATGGCTGAGCTGCCGCCGCCTGATTGGCTGGGAGTATGGGCGGAATTTCCGGGCTGCCCGCGATCTGCGGAACGGTCTCCAGAAAAGGTCGGCGTGCGGAGGTCCGGGCGGAGGCGGGCCCAGCGGGACAGAAGATTTGGCCGGGCTGCCCGAGGAGGAGGGGCAGCTGCGCCTGAAGAATCTGGGGAAATGAAAATGTTTTGGTGATGGGCAGCAAGCAACAGGGGTAGCAGGCGCAACAGTAATTGTAGTGGCAGGTGCGTTGGTTGCACGAGGGGTTGCAGGGAAGTTGGGGGAGGGGAGGGGGTGAAAAGGGGGCAGAGAAAGTGGTGAGAGGAACGAAAGGACAAAGGTCGACGGGCAACAGGGAATGGACGAAGGGGAGATGGCAGTGGGCTAAGGGGAAGGGGAACGCGCAAGGGGAGATGGATCAGAGAAAAGGGGGGCAAGCAAAAGGACAAAGTGGAAAGGGCAAATGGGGACTGGCAGAAAGGGAAGCGGAATGACATCCCACACATTTCATTCTGCACCTTCCCATGCCACTCTCGCTCACCAGGGGGTGCCTGTGCTGCTGCAGCAGCAGGAGGAGGAGAGGCGAACGAGTCTGGAGTGAACCACTGCGACGCCCCTCCCACTCCCCCTCCTCCTCCTGTTCAGAGTCGTCTCAAAACTCACCAGTAGGAGCCTGTGCTGGAGCGGCGGGCGGAGGAGGAGAAGCAAACGAGTCTGGAGTGAACCACTGCAACGCCCCTCCCACAATCCCTCCCCCTCCCCCTCCCCCTCCTCCTCCTGTTCAGAGTCGTCTCAAAACTCACCAGTAGGAGCCTGTGCTGGAGCGGCGGGCGGAGGAGGAGAAGCAAACGAGTCTGGAGTGAACCACTGCGACGCCCCTCCCACAATCCCTCCCCCTCCCACTCCCCCTCCTCCTCCTGTTCAGAGTCGTCTCAAAACTCACCAGTAGGAGCCTGTGCTGGAGCGGCGGGCGGAGGAGGAGAGGCGAACGATTCTGGAGTGAACCACTGCGACGCCCCTCCCACAATCCCTCCCCCTCCCCCTCCCCCTCCTCCTCCTGTTCAGAGTCGTCTCAAAACTCACCAGTAGGAGCCTGTGCTGGAGCGGCGGGCGGAGGAGGAGAAGCAAACGATTCTGGAGTGAACCACTGCGACGCCCCTCCCACAATCCCTCCCCCTCCCCCTCCCTCTCCCCCTTCTCCTCCTCTCCCAGGTCGGTCTGGAGGGGTGGAGAACGATGCCATGCCCCTAACCACCAGGTGCTCTGGTGTGTGTGCCTGCGACCATGCAGATGAGCCTGACCCAGATACACCTGAACCAGATACACCTGCCCCAGATGGACCTCCCCCCGTGCCCCTGCTTTCTCTCTGTGCCGTTGCTGCTCCCCTCCCTGCCCCCACCACTGATAGGCCTGCACACAAGTGTGAAACCATTCGAGAAGGAGGAGGGAGGGGAGGGAAGGGAGGGAACGGGGTGGAAGAGTTGATGGAATAAGTGTGCTGATGGAGAGAGCTCCTCCTCTTCTCTCCTCTCTCCTCCCCTCCTCCCCTCCCCGCTCCTCTCCTCAATTTCAATTCTCTCCTAAAAACAACACCCTCTCCCCCCTGCACCACCCTCCTTCACCTTGTCGTCCCATGAGGGCTCTCGCACAAGCACCAGCACAACAGGCCTCTGGGTGACTTTTGAGTCGACTCAAAAGTCACCTCGTTACAATGGCACACGACACTTTTTTAGTCGACTCAAAAGTCACCTCGTTACAACGGCACACGACACTTTTTGAGTCGACTCAAAAGTCACCTCGTTACAATGGCACACGACACTTTTTGAGTCGATTCAAAAGTCACCTCGTTACAATGGCACACGACACTTTTTGAGTCGACTCAAAAGTCACCTCGTTACAATGGCACACGACACTTTTTGAGTCGACTCAAAAGTCACCTCGTTACAACGGCACACGACACTTTTTGAGTCGACTCAAAAGTCACCTCGTTACAACGGCACACGACACTTTTTGAGTCGACTCAAAAGTCACCTCGTTACAATGGCACACGACACTTTTTGAGTCGACTCAAAAGTCACCTCGTTACAATGGCACACGACACTTTTTGAGTCGACTCAAAAGTCACCTCGTTACAATGGCACACGACACTTTTTGAGTCGACTCAAAAGTCACCTCGTTACAATGGCACACGACACTTTTTGAGTCGACTCAAAAGTCACCTCGTTACAACGGCACACGACACTTTTTGAGTCGACTCAAAAGTCACCTCGTTACAATGGCACACGACACTTTTTGAGTCGACTCAAAAGTCACCTCGTTACAATGGCACACGACACTTTTTGAGTCGATTCAAAAGTCACCTCGTTACAATGGCACACGACACTTTTTGAGTCGACTCAAAAGTCACCTCGTTACAATGGCACACGACACTTTTTGAGTCGACTCAAAAGTCACCTCGTTACAACGGCACACGACACTTTTTGAGTCGACTCAAAAGTCACCTCGTTACAACGGCACACGCCACTTTTTGAGTCGACTCAAAAGTCACCTCGTTACAATGGCACACGACACTTTTTTAGTCGACTCAAAAGTCACCTCGTTACAATGGCACACGACACTTTCTGAGTCGACTCAAAAGTCACCGCGTTACAATGGCACACGACACTTTTTGAGTCGACTCAAAAGTCACCTCGTTACAATGGCACACGACACTTTTTGAGTCGACTCAAAAGTCACCTCGTTACAACGGCACATGACACTTTTTGAGTCGACTCAAAAGTCACCTCGTTACAACGGCACACGCCACTTTTTGAGTCGACTCAAAAGTCACCTCGTTACAATGGCACACGACACTTTTTGAGTCGACTCAAAAGTCACCTCGTTACAACGGCACACGACACTTTTTGAGTCGACTCAAAAGTCACCTCGTTACAACGGCACACGACACTTTTTGAGTCGACTCAAAAGTCACCTCGTTACAACGGCACACGACACTTTTTGAGTCGACTCAAAAGTCACCTCGTTACAATGGCACACGACACTTTTTGAGTCGACTCAAAAGTCACCACCCTCCTTCACCTCGTCGTCCCATGAGGGCTCTCGCACAAGCACTAGCACAACAGGCCTCTGCCACCACCTGAGCCTCCTTCTCCCACGCCTGCCGCATGCCCGCCGTCCCTACCCTCCGCCCCTCCTCATCTCCCCATCCTCACCTCGTCGTCTCATAAGAGCTCTCTTGCGAGCAATAGCAGAACGATTGTTATTGCTTGTAAGAGCCTCCGCCAGCAGCCGAGCCTCCTCCTCCCTCGCCTGCCTCATCGATTGTTTCACTTCACTACCTACCGTCCCCGATGCTGCAGGGTGTTTTTGAGAATTCTCAAAAACACCCTGCGATTGTTTCACTTCACTACCTACCGTCCCCTCTCTTCCTCATCCTTCCTCATTTCCCCGCCCTCTCCTCGTCACCTGTCTCATCACTTGTTTCACTACCCTTTGCCCTCATCCCCATCAACCCTTACCTGCTCCTCTCGTCTCTAAACTCTCCTCCCTCACCCTCTCTCACCTCGCCGCCTCATGAGGGCTTTCGAGCGAGCAATATTAGAACGCGCCTCTGCCAAGTCTCGAGCCTCCTCCCTTGCCTGCCTCATAGCCGCCTTCACGTTGCCGTTAATTCGCTTTGAGTCCGCCATGTCCCTCAACATCACCTCACACGCGTGCAGGTTGGATTCTCCGAAGCGAAGCTGGGAGGCGGTGCATTGGGGATGCAAGGGGGGGTGGGTGGGAGGGGAGAGGGGGCGGGTGGGCAAATTGGAGTGGTTGATGCGCTTTGAATCCGCCATGTCCCTCAGCATCACTTCACACGCGTGCAGATTGGACTCGCCAAACCGGAGCTGGTAGAAAAGGTGCAAAGGAGCAAAGAGGCACACAAGAGGTCAATCCGCCATGTCCCTCAGCAGCATCACCTCGCACGTGTGCAGATTCAACATTCCAAATCGGAGCTGTGGGGCGCGTGGGAGGTTAAGCGGAAGAAATGAAAGCGCTACCCTTTCCTCGCTTAACCTCCCACGCACCTTAAGCACGTCCTTTTCCTCGCTCCAGAGTGCGCACGTCCCTGTCAGTGTCATACCCAGCGCGCCCCACCAGCCTCTTGGATGAAGCACACATGCATAGTGCATGCCTTGACCTGACATTCAACTGACCATACAAGCATTGAGTTCTCTTCTCTCTCCCACTCACGCACGCACGTTGAGCAGCTCCAGGGTGCGCACGTCCCTGTCAGTGTCGTACCCCGCGCGCCCCACCAGCCGCTCCGCCAGCATGCCTCGATACTCCCCCAGCAGCACCTCCATTGGAGCACAGATGTATGGTCTATACATTGACCGCATTCACCCTCTCTCCCATTCACACACGCACCTTCAACAGCTCAAGTGTGCGCACGTCCCTGTCAGTGTCATACCCCATTCGCCCCACCAGCCTCTCCGCCAGCATGCCTCGATACTCCCCCAGCAGCACCTCCCGCGACCCAAACACCCCCGCCAGCACGCGCACTATGTCCCTCGCCCTCTGCGCCTGGCCGGAGGACCGCCAGGGATCGGCGTCAACCGGATCAGGCTGCCAGCTGCGGGAGGAGGGGGGAATGGATTGGAGAGTGTCAAGTCAGGCATGGGAGCCCGATCAGGTGGCGCCTACCCCAGGTAGCACCTTTCTGAGGCCAGCCCAACTGGACACCAGCACCCCGACTATATCCCGCGTCGCGCCCTCTGTGCCTCGAATCATCAGGACGCGAATCCCAGGATGACCTCTGTGCCTGTCCTGAGGTCCTCCAGGGATTCGTGTCGACGGGGTCTGGCAGCCAGCTGCAGGAAGAAAGGCGGGAGGAAAGGTGAGAGTGTAAAGCATGTCGAAAAGGTCACTTCGAAGCGGTTTGAAACGTTTCAAATCACTAACACCTTCTAGCTCTCTGCTCAGCTCACCAGCAACTCCCCTCCCCCCCTCACCACTCATCCCTCAGCAGCAGCGTAAGCCACAGCCAAATCGTCACCCAAGCAGCCTCACCACTCAGCACCGCTGCTCACTGCTCGGCACCACCACTCACCGTTCAGCAGCAGCATAAGCCGCAGACAGATCTTCCCCCAAGCCTGCCCCTTCCTCCTCCCCCTCTCCACTCCCCCCCGCCTCCCCCTCGCCCCCTTCCGCCGCCCGGCTTAGCTCCTCCAGCAGTGACAGGTCACCCGGGTCCCCCGCCTCCCCTGCCACGTCATCTGCCACGTCAGCAGCGCCCTTGATGGCGCCACCTGGCGCTGCAGAAGGATGCTGAGTCAGCAGAGTCATGATGCAGCGAATGGTGTCCCTGCGTTTGCGTGTAGGGAGGAGCAGGAGATCAGGTTGGGGGATGGATGGCATGGATGGTTGGTTGGTTCCCTGCAGCAGGTCACTTGCAAAGCGGTTTGACCTGACCATGTATGGATTACTAACAGCGGCAACATGACTCTGCTACCTCGATACTCCCCCACCCCAGCAGCACCTCGCGCGACCCGAACATGGACTTTTGAGTCGACTCAAAAATGGATCGTCGGATGGATGGTTGGTTCAAGAGTATTAACACCGGCTATATGCGTGGTATATGTTGCATACCCTCCTCGCCTCTCCTCTCCGATCCCTCTCCCCCCCATCTCCCCCACTTTCACCCCTCCAGCACTCACTTTCTCCCCCGCAGGTACTGTCGAATGGGCTCACTGACTGCCTCCAGCACCACCCCCGACGGATCCACCAGCCTCAGAGCACACCTGTGGCGGCTCAAATCAGCCCAAGCATATTGCCACAAGCCATCACCTTGCCCCTTACCAGCATAACAGAACTCACTTTCTGCCTCGCAGGTACTGTCGAATGGGCTCACTGACTGCCTCCAGCACCACCCCCGACGGGTCCACCAGGCGCAGAGCACACTTCTAGAAGACTCCCTTTCCAGGCACACAACCCCCACCCAACCTTACAATCCCTACTCACTTTCTGCCGCGCAGGTACTGGCGAATGGGCTCACTGAATGCCTCTAGCACCACCCCAGACGGGTCCACCAGCCGCAGAGCACACCTTTAGCAGACTACCCTCCACGCCACACACACTCTCACCTCCCCCAATGACTCACTTTCTGCCGCGCAGGTACTGGCGAATGGGCTCACTGGCTGCCTCTAGCACCATTCCGGACGGGTCCACCAGCCGCAGAGCACACCTTTAGCAGACTACCCTCCACGCCACGCACACTCTCACCTCCCCCAATGACTCACTTTCTGCCGCGCAGGTACTGGCGAATGGGCTCACTGACTGCCTCTAGCACCATTCCGGACGGGTCCACCAGCCGCAGAGCACACCTTTAGCAGACTACCCTCCACGCCACGCACACTCTCACCTCCCCCAATGACTCACTTTCTGCCGCGCAGGTACTGGCGAATGGGCTCACTGACTGCCTCCAGGACCACCCCCGACGGGTCCACCAGCCGAGCACGTATGGCATGGATTAAGCATACCATTGGTCTCGACCCTACCATGATGACCAAACCAAACTCACTTTCTGCCGCGCAGGTACTGTCGAATGGGCTCACTGACTGCCTCCAGCACCACCCCCGACGGGTCCACCAGCCGCAGAGAATATATGGCATAGGTCTTGTAGCATACCACTCCTCTCGCTCCCTCGAACCCATGTGCTACTGGCACCTCCAGACACTCACTTTCTGCCTCTGAGATACTGTCGGATGGGCTCACTGACCGCCTCCAGCACCACTCCCGACGGGTCCACCAGCCTCAGAGCCCGTATCGCCGACACATACTGCTGCAGGATATCCGCCGTCGACGCGCCAGCTGTCAGCAGCCGATTGGCCAGCGCTGCCCGGAACGAAGCAACCAGCCTCCCATACGCGCTCCCCCCACCAATGCTGCTTTCCCCTCCCATGCCCAACCCCTCCCCTCCCATGGCTCCTCGCACACCACTCACACCACTCAGACCGCTCCCTCCTTGTGCGGCCACAAGAGCAACCAGAGGCGGAGCAGCAGCCGCAAGGGCAGCCGTCCCAAAACCCTCCACACCAGCCCCACCAGCAGCAGCACTGAATCCAGAGTCACCAACAGCAGCAGCACCAGCAGTGGCATCAGCAGCAGCAGCAGCAGCGGCAGCGCCATTCTCAAGGCAGTCTTTAAGGTCGAGGAGGGCGGGGGTGGAGTCGGGGTAATCGACTATGATGTCAAATAGTTGTCCCGTGCGCACCACACACAGCTCCCTGCCCGCCACGTGGCGCAACCAGGCATGCCACTGCCGCAGATGTGCGGCTGAGATCGGATCTGACACGCGAGAACTACGGATGGAGATGGCCGAGGAATCACCTCTGCTGGTGCTAGTATCGGTGGTGCTGGTCTTAGTGGTGACTGTGCAGGTGGTGATAGTAACGAAGGGAAGAGCAGTGACCTGCAGCCACCGATGCAGGCGAGGGAGGATCCGACGGTCGAAAACGGCTCCTGCTGATGCATGCACATGCGCCTTAAGCCGGGCTAGCAGCACAGCAGACAGCACCGCATGCGACAGGAAAGAGAGCCCTGAGAACCCCAGAGCACGCATCACCTGCTGCACGCGCCACACCCACGCCCGCCCCATCCTCTCCTCCAACCTCCCCGCCCAACACATAGGCGAGTCTGTCTTTCCCCCCTCCCCATAGCCCCCACCGTCCCCGTAAGCTGCGTCCTCCTCGCCCCCACCCTCCTCCCCTTCACCCTCAGTGCCCAGCAATCCATCCAGCACCGCTGCAAGCGTCTCCTGCTCTGCTCCGCTCACTGCCCCCGCTGCTTCACACGCCTCACCTCTGTCTCCCTCTCCCTCTCCCGCTCCCCCCTCTACTACCCCTCTCCCCCTCGCCTCAAGCGCAGCCATTTCATTCTCCAGCCGTCTCCTCGGCCCCCTCCCCTTGCCCTCACTCACCGCCTCCTCTTCCTCAAACCCAGGGAAGCTTCTGAGCATGTTCTGACTCTCTGCGTTCAGTAGAGGTGTGAGTCTTTCACCTGGGTGTTGGTGGTACCTCTCCCCACCTGCAGTGGCGGTGGCGGCTACAGGGGTGCTAGATGTTCCCACTGGGGTCGACTGTAGCTTCCCTGCTGATTCCTCTAGATCCCCTGCCTCCTCCTCCTCCTTCTCCCCCTCCCCTTCCTCCACCTCCTCCCCCTCCCCTTCCTCTTCCACCTCATCCTCCTCTTCCTCCTCCCCCCCCTCCTCCTCCTCCTCCTCCTCCTCCTCCTCCTCCTCCTCCTCCTCCTCCTCCTCCTCCTCCTCCTCCTCCTCCTCGTCACCATCCTCTATATAGAAAGGGCGCATGCACGCAGAAACATCCTTGAAGCGAGACGACAGGAACTCCTGCAGCAGCCCTGTCAGCGATGCATGGATGTGGGTGGGTGGAGTGGAGGGAAGAATGTGCTCGAGTTTCGAGACGTCTCAAAATGCGTGCAAGGAAGAAGATGATGCGAGAACCATCACAGAACGTGAATCAATCTCATTCCCCGTTCATGCATGCATGTGATATGAGTGCAGTCACAGCACCGCACTCACCATACAGCTGTGGCGGTGTGGCGTTGACCAGCATGGTTTGCATGCTCTCCCTCAACTCCTCCACCACACCCCCATCTTCTTCCCCCTGCTCCTCCTCCCACTCTCGCTCTTAGTGCACCGCACTCAACCGTACAAACAGCACTGCACTCACCGTACAGCTGTGGAGGTGAGGCGTTGACCAGCATGGCTTGCATGCTCTCCCTCAACTCCTCCACTGCACCTCCCTCTTCGCCTCCCCACTCCTCCCACTCCTCCTCTTCTCCCTCCCCCCCGTCCTCCTCCTCCTCCCCCTCCTCCTCCCCACCCTCCTCCTCTGCCCCTTCTACCTCAGCCCACGGATGACCCCACGTGTCCCCAACACCATTCTTGGCATTGCATCGTGCCACCTCAGCTGCCACGTCAGCAAGCACAAGCGTGAAAGCATACTTCACAGCACAGAGCTCGTTCAAAGCAACGCGTAGTTTCCTGGCAGCTTCCTTCTGCCGGTGCTGCTTAACCCCCTTCTTTGTCACCCGTCCTGCTCCGTTCCCTCCCCTTCCTCCCCCTTCCCCAATACTTGCTGCTTCCATGATGGCTCTTTGAAAACGGGGCACAGCAGTTTCCTGGAAACTTCTCTGTACAAAGAAAGCCGTGGGAGAGGAAAACGAGACTTTAAAATGTGACGTGGGAACAGCGACAACAGGGGAGAGCAGGGAAGAGCAGGGAAGAGCAGGGGATAACAGACGTCGGACGATTTAGTAACAGGAGCGAGTGAATCGCAGCAGCAGCACGAGCAGGAGCAGCACATGAGCAGCTCAAGGAGCGATAATAGTAGAAATCGCAGCTCAAGTGCTCGTTTTTAAAGCTTCCGATCAGGACAGTTAAAGCAGCAGGCATGGGCCGATGCAGACACTCCCACTCACCTTCAGGCATCCGCTGACGTAATCAAGCGTCACTGGCCCCATGCCACGTCGGCACAGCTCGGCAAGGTCTTTCCGCCTCTCCCCATTCCGCCAGAATTTCACAACTCTGCGCCTGCCTCCTTGCGTGTTCCACGCGAATCCCCCGATTGTGTCGTCGTTCTCGCTGCTTCCGTCGCCTTCCGTCGTGCTGTATGCTCTGCTGCTAATCCGGCCGTTGATTCCCTCGATCAAAGCGTTCAATGAACGGTCCAGATTCCACCATGATGTAGAGATGGCGTGAGTTACGGAAGGATCGAGGCCCAGAGCAGGGTATCCGGATTGCAGAGAGTCCATTTTGTCGACTGCGATGCGAGGACGTTTCGCTTTGACGAGGGTAAAGGACATACGCGAACCTCAATATCGTCTCATCCAGGAAATTCCAGTTCAGTGGAGAAGGCTAATGCGAATGCGAAGAGAGTGCTCGCGAATGCGAAGAGAGTGCTCGCGAATGCGTACTAACGCGAGATGCGGAAAACGTATGCGTGCATGCAGCAGAGCACGATAACACAGTATGAAGGAACCACTTTTTTATCCGGATTTGTCGCCTCCTAAAATGGTCAACCATGTATGGTCATCCATGCCCGACTTGGTTTCTGTCAGTAATGGCAGAGCTCAGCGGCCAACGGATCCACTTTTTCCGCATGGATTACTACGTAGCGAAAACCATGGCAGGTATCCCATCTTCACGAATAAATTAGATTCGCGAGTCGCGACAGGGCCACACAACACCTGTACAAAAAGCTGCACAAAAACAACATTTTTTTTGCAGGGTGGAGATGGTCGTCACCTTCACGCTAACAAACACCCAGTGGGCTATCGAGACACTCTCTAACGAGTCACGCAACAGTTTGAGCATTCAAACCAAATGCCACAACAGATCTTCCTGTTTTTTCGCCAAACCGAGCCAAACCCAAACAGAAGCTCCAAAGCGCATTTGGAAAAAGGATTTCCGTCCGCCATGGAGACATCAAGTCCGGAGGCTTGATGTTTGGTTCCGCGGCTCACCCGTATTTCCCGCTTCCCCAGACGCGTGCAAGTGCCGTTTTTTTCGCTCTCCGTGACAGTTCCAGGTTCACTGTCGTCCGTCACTCTGGCTCACGGCTAAGCGGGCTATCCTATACCTGTAAATATCTGTCTTATACAATCGCACCTGAGCGTTCGTTTCTGCGTTCAGAACCCGAAAACCGCATTCCCCCTCGCGTTAGAACCTGGGAGCGGCCCTTTGTGCAGTTTCTCCGTAGCGAAGCAGAGCCGGGCCGCGGGATTGACCCAGTTGTATTATTTTGTTCGAGCGCGGAAAACACACACACAGGCTGCGGCGCCGGCCAGTGCATCATACGGAACAAGCAGCGCGTCGAACACGCCGCTGCTGCTGCTGCTTCTGTCCGTCTAACGGCCCAGATGGCGTCCCTTCAGCCGTTCGATTTGACGGAGTTTCTGCAGCTGAAAGAGGCTGTGCGTCCCGAGCAAGCTGAAAATGCCGCAGGGCAGACGGCCGCCGCGGTGCTCCCCGCGTCCGTGGCGGAAACATGCCGCGCGATGGCGGAGTGTTTGCGCGCAACAAGCGCGCTGATCGTGCGCGACCCGCGGTGCGCGCAGGCGGACAACGACCGGTTTCTGGACATGATGGAGTCGTACTTCGCGCAGCCCAAGGCGACGAAGCTCGCGCACTCACGGCCGGAGCTGCACTACCAGGTAAAACTGATGATGATAAGGTCACGAGGTAAGACTGATAAGGCTCCGTGCAATCTATTTGTCGGTCCAAAGCGGTGCTAACATTTCGCCTTCGCCAAAAACGTACGATTGCAGTTGAAAGAGGCTGTACCCCCCGAGGGCGTGGAGATGCCGCAGAGCGCGCTGGACGAGGCGGTGAAGGCGCGCATGGCGCAGCTCCGCGCGCACAGCGGTGTGCTTCCCCTGACACCCGCATCTCTCTGCCCTCTGTTTCCTGTGTGCCCGCCGTCCCCGCACCTCCGCTCCCAATCCCCCACCCCGTTCGCTCGCTTGGGGACCCCTGCCCCTCTTCCCCCTCCTTCCCCCGCGCAGGTGGGAGTGACCCCCGAGGGCGTGGAGATGCCGCAGAGCGCGCTGGACGACGCGGTGAAGGCGCGCATGGCGCAGCTCCCCGCGGACAGCCGCCCCCACGCGCCCTCCGGGCCCGACTGCAAGTGGCGCTTCATGTGGCGCGTCGGTCCCCGCCCAGCGCACACCAGATATCAGGTGAGAGCAGAGGAGAGTGGGGGAGGTCCCACGCGCACCAGATATCAGGTGAGGGTTGATTGATGGCCCTTCCCCTTCCCCGGCACCAGACACCTTGTGAGGCCCTCACATCTGGTGGCTTTTGAAGCGCCTTAGAAGTCGCCCCGCGCGCACCAGATAACAATTACGCGGATAGCTGTTGCCTCCGCGCCTCCCATTTGACATCCCATGTTTGCACCCCGCTTGAATGTGATGCGCTTGTATTCGATGTTCTGATATCTAATGTGCGCATATCGGATGTGCGTGTAACAGGAGCTGAACGCGAGTCCAGTGGTGCCGGAGGGGTTCCCTCAGTGGGCGTCGGTGATGGATGGGTGGGGATGTAAAATGACGGCTGCCGTGGAGGTGAGAGAGGCGGGCGAGGTGGAGAGAGAAAGCCTAAGGGGATACAAAGGAGGGCAAGGGCAAGGTAATGGGGGGAGGTGGGGAGGTAGGACACGGAGTGGTTGGGTTGCAGTTCGTTGCATATTTCCAGTTAAAGATTGCTGCTCTGTAATAACCAGGTTTTGGATAGGTGGAATTATATATGACTCTGAAAGTGCCACGTGTTGACATGGGATGCATGTGTGTGTGGGTTGGCAGGCTGTGGCGGAGATGCTGGCAATTGGATTTGATCTGCCACAGGACTCATTCACCACTCGCATGCACATGGTACGAACCCTCTTGTCGTTGCACCTCCCGCATGCATATTGTACGAACCTCTTCGCGTTGCTGCTCTATCTCTCCGCCCACTATTGGCCCCACCCACCATTGCTGTTCTCGTCACCTATTTAATTCTGTCCTGTTGCACCCACGGTCTTTTACCGCTATCCTCCCGCTGCCCCAATCCCCCCTTCTCACTTGCACTCCATCCTTTCCCTGGCCCACCTCCCCACTGCTGTTCCCCCGTCCTTTTGTCCTGCTGCCCCTTTCGCCACTCCTTCTCAGGGCCCACACCCACAGGCAGCGACCTGGGAGAGCAAGGCTCACCTGGGACGGTCCTGGCAGGGTATCATGCAGAGCAGATCTCAACCCTCACCATGCACTGTTGAGCTGACTCAAAATTCAGCCATTTTCCATCCCTTCTCCTCCCCATCCCCAGGGCCCACACCTCCTCGCCCCCACAGGCAGCGACCTGGGAGAGCACGGCTCCCCTGGAACAGTCCTGGCGGGGTATCATGCAGATCTCAACTTCCTCACCATCCACGGACGGTGCAGATTCCCCGGCCTCCGCATCTGGCTGAGGGATGGCACCTGCTGCCGTGTCTCGGTGCCTGACGACTGCCTGCTTCTGCAAGCAGGGAAACAGGTGAGTCCAGGGGAATGTTGTCTGCATTGATTTTGGTGCTGTTGTATGACCCTTGGTGTCACAGTATGGCTTTGCCTTGAATCTGGTGGTCTGATTCGACATTCTGCACCAGTAGTAGCACCCGCATTGTGCGCATGTGATGCACTGTGCCATTGCTCTCTTGAGAACGACATATTTTTTGCTCAACCTCCCTGCATCGTCCTCCTGGCATGGCATGTGTGTGATGGTGTAACATGGCAGATGGAGTGGCTGACGGGAGGAGAGGTATCGGCGGGCATGCATGAGGTGGTGGTGGATGAGGGCACAGTGGCGGCGGTGCAGAGAGCACAGCAGCAGGGATGCAGCCTCTGGCGTGTCTCCAGTACGGTACGTGGGAGGACTAATGCTCACTGCATTGTGTTTCGAAGATTATGCGGCAGGTGTGGTGCTGGTGGTGGTAAGGGAGAAGGAGATGGGAAAGAATCAGTTGTCCTGTGACAGGATTGCCTGATCATGCACCTTCTGGTGTCGTTATGTTTTCCTTTCTTCTGCAGGTGTTTGCGCACATTGCGTCGGATGAGGTCCTCACGCCCATTGGCCACTTTGCAACTAGCAAGCTGGCGCCTAGTTTTCCACCCAAGCCTGCTGGAGAGTTTGTGGAGGAGGAACTCGCAGCCATTCAGTTGAAAACCACCAGTGGAGGTGGCTGAACTGTGCACATACTTTGCTCACTGTATATTTACATTACGGTAAGTTTCTTAAGTGCCTCATGAATGCTTCTTGAATAAAGGTTATTCCACCTGTACATCAATCTGTTGTCAGCAATGTCTTAAACTGCAAACTGGCACAAAAAACTAGTGGCCAGAGTTAAGCTAAATTTTGTACTACAATTAGCAAGAACTGCAACACAAGGAGCAACAATTGCCAGCCCACTCATGCTGTGCTGCCAAGAAAATGGAATAAAACGACCATGTCTCTTAGAGAGCATTAACAAACTCTCCACTGCCCTCAAAGTCATCCATGTCATTGTCCATGTCCTCATCATCCCTCTCGTCATCCCTGTCATCGTTGAGGTATCCATCGCCGGAAGGCTGAGCAATGC